TTGTTGGGGGGGGGGGTTGCAGCAAACAGCAGCTTTGCAGATCAGGCACCTCTGGGTGCATCGCTGCCCCCCTCAGGACACTGGCTTGTGACATTTACTGGGCATTGCGCTGCCATGTGTCATGCATAAGTCAGGCTGGCATTTAACATAAGTTCTGGACTCATTATGAATACTCTATTCATAACACCCCAAAATTGAAAAATATATAGAAAGTTCAGCTTAAAGAAGCAAAGGAGAAATAAGATTAATGACTAGGGAAAAAAGAATAACCAAAGGGAAAACTAGAGTACAGGGAACTGGAGATAACAAAAAAAAAAAAAAAATAAATAAATAAAACATCAAACAGGAATAGTAACTAACTAACTAAATAATGAGTAATTCAAAACATGATATAATTCTTAACAGTGAAAACAGAATAACAAACCCAATTGTAACTGAAAAACCAAAGTGGAAAATAAACAGAACCAAGAATCCCAGAACAGCAGATCATAACACATAATATAGCAGAACTTACTGGAGCAAAGTAATGAGATAAAGATAATGCAAGGTCTATATTTTACACCTTTGATTTCTCTTCTAGGTTCTGTGTGCTACTCTTTAAAGTGAGGCGGCAAGCACATGTTAGGCTGGGGGTCATGTGACTCATGTCATTTGAGATGTCATAGTTACAGATAATCTGTCAGGAGCCAGTGATTTGCTTTAGATTCAGTGATTTAGAAACAACTGAAAGTTTTTGGCTCAAATAAGTTAAAGATCAACAGATCCAAAATAAAGTGTTGAAGTGTCTATCAAAATTAAATATTTCATTGCAATGAAAAAAATGAAGAAAATATGTTAATGTGCAGTTGAGAAAAATGGTGTCTGGTCTTATGGGACCGTATTGGCTCTCTTGTAGTTATGTGTAAACATTTAAGTAGGAGATTATTTGGTACTTTTATATCTTGTATACAGTGACGAGACACGTCAAGGTCAGGAATTTAAATATGATAGGCAAGAAAGGCCAACACAGTTAACCCTCCAACCTATTTTCATGTCCAACCCCTTTGTGCACACTCATAGCTAAAGCTACTGTGGTTGCTGGGTGGACAGTGGTTGAACTCAAGTATTATTACAAATCTATTAGCCACAAACTTGTCATTGTGTTTAAAGTCTGTAATGACACTGGAATACTCCAATAATGGTACACAGCATGTCATCACAATATTTCAAGCCCCCTTCCAATACAAATGTGCTGAACATAGTTCAGGATTGTGTGTTTAGATTGGCAGGATACAGTTGGCGAGAAAGCCATGCCAGGACAGTCTCCAGGGATCCTTCCAAGATAACAGGCAGACTCTTCTTATGTGTGTATGTATATATAACATATATAACATATCATGTTAAAAATTATTTTAATGTTTCACTATATTTCATATTTGTTTGACTACAAGTATTTTGATTGTATAGTATTGCCTTGTCAACCTTAGCTGTAGAGCACTTAGGTTAATATTTGTTCTTTTTTTAATGCAACACTAATTTCCTTTGATGCTCTGACTTTGACTGGGGAACTGTGCCTCTTTTATTTGGGGCAAGAGGGATTTCTGTCTCTCAATGTTCCTTAACAAGCTATGCACAACCACAGCTATGTACTCTTAAGTTATGTGCTTATCTTGTTTTTCAATGTATTGGTCAAGCAGATGTTTAGAGGAGTTGGTTCAGGTTCTCCTTTAAATCTGACGACAGCTCATTTGGAGGTGGATGGGATGGGGATGGATTTTAGCAGGGTTTTATCAGTCAGCAGACAAGTACAACTTTTTAATCTAAATGGCATCTAATTTTCTAAAATTCCCCTTCTTAAAAACTTTTTTTGGGTTTTGAATATTTATTATCGTTATTACCTCCAACAACATGGCAGAAACCTTATCTATTGTTTACAGTCACTCTGCAACTACCACTATCACCAGCAATCTGCCTATTTTAATAGAGGCAATCTTTGTAGATCACCCATACATGTCCACTTATTGCACAAGCCAAAAAAATATATTGCATGTGCAATTTAACATCCCTTATTTGAAATGTATGTAGGTCAGACCCCTATACTACAGAGGCGACCCCTTTCCTGCATAGAAAATAGCTACAGATCCCGCACCACAACTCACACCAAGCTATGTAACCTCATGACCAAGGAATGAATGATGGTTTGTTGTTTTGCATCCATCTATGAGTGTACCCTAGAGGATGGGCTTTCATGTGTTTAAAAACAGTAGCACATCACCTACAGGTTGCTCTAGTGCGAGCAATGATACTTAGACTCCTTGGTAAGTGTTGAAAGTTCTTGAGAAAACTGTGCCAAAATCATGTTGCCTCTGATTTAAGTCTGTTTCTGGGCCCTTAAGAGCTCTAAACTTTACTTAAACATTTAGATTACTTCAAGAACAATGGGTAGAGAGTTTAATAGAATAGCTTTACTGACACCAAACAGCTGTGTCAAAGGCAGCCTTACATCACTAAACTGAATAGTGGATCCAGTGTAGTAAAGCAAGCTACCGGTGGGGTCTAGAAGAGTGGAGACATGCCTCTGGCAATCCAATGAACATGTTTGGGTCTCACAGCTGCCAAGAGAACTGCATTTGTCTCATTGCATTGTTCCCAGTGTAACATTAACAGCATACTAACCTTTTCTTTAAGGCTAGGGAACACAGTTTTAGTAAAAAGACCTGTTAATGCTTTAGTATACCAAGTCACTGAGAAAAAATAAATCATGCATTACGTTTGTGAAAAGAGTTAGTGGATGGTCTCTTCCTACTCTGACATTTCCCACCAGTTTGCAGGCTAAATAAGGATAGCGATGGGCAGGTATGGAGTGGGACCCGATTGATTTCCGCATAACACTGCCCTCATCCTGCTTGAAAACATTTCGGAACAATCGGTGGGTAAAGTCAGAATTCAACCTTCTCATCCAGCATCCCAGTTTGGCCTAAACAAATGCACTGCTGGAAGACTGGTCAAAAATTCCCATAAACACAGTCCTTAATCATGTGGAAAGCCTTCCTAGAAGAGCTATAGTTGTATTACTTGTAAAGCTAAAACAGGCCCCCAGCTTCAGGGACTGACATTAAAATTAAACTCCATAGGCTGTCCCTCAGTTTCATATGTTCATGAAGACAGACAATCCAACACTTTTAGCGTTATAGTGTATATTTCTCCCACATAATGCAATTCATTTTGAAAGGAAAGCAAAGAATAAAGTTTTGTGGAGTGATTATCCTAGCACAGTAATTGATGCACAATGAAGTAAACAAATTCAACTAAAATAGTGCCTTAGAGAAAGGGATTCTATATCCATTTCAAGTCAAGCATTGAGGAAGGATTTCAGTCTTGTATCGTGTTAGTGATGTGCTTATGAAAGCAGTGCCAAGCTTTGTTTTTGGGTCATTAGACCTGAGGGGGGATGTGTTGCTATGTTTGGAATTTTGAGATGGGTTCACAGGGTAGCTTGCACGTCTCTTGGCACTCTTACCCTCTTTTTTACACACCTCTCTCTGGACCCCCTTTCATCCTACCACCAACAAGTCGTCCCAACATGTAATCACAGTACATGTGAAATAAGGAAAACTAAGAGTAGGTTGCCTGTTTCTCTTATTAGACAGCTTCTTATGTGTACCATTCATGTCTTTTTTTAGTTATTTGCACATCCTGTTGCGTGTGGGTGGAAATGGCCCTGATTATTTTCAAAACACACCCCATTCAGAAGTGGGATTCGAAAAGGGAATCAACACTGATTAAAGTAAGATGATGGCCTGCTCCTGATTTGCAACCGGATGATTTACTTTTCCACTCTTAGTGCTCTCATTGTCCAGAGAATTAAGGAAACCCAGTTTACCAGTTGATCCCTGAATTTGCTCTTAGTGCAACAACTGAACAGCAGCTTAAGTCTGAGGCCCTCACATCCCAGGATTTAGAGAGGAATTCATCCAGAATTATGGGTAATTTTGAAACAGTAAATGACTCCTCAGGAAAGACTTTGCCTTGCTTTTCTTTTTCTTTGATGTCTTAAACCAACTTCTTGCCTCATTCATGTAGAGATGGATACCTGAATTTTTTAAATGCCCGCTGGGCTTTTCAGCTAGACAAGTGTGGGCCTGCCTGCATCCTTCTTAAAAGACAGCCTGTAGAAATGTCTTTTATTAAGACAGAGCACCATATTTGAACTACATTCTTTCTATTTGTCATTTGAAGACAGAACATGTACGTTCTAAGTGTTTCTCGACCCCGCTATGTACTTATTTAGACATGCAGTACCCGTGGCTTTCAAATCATAACAGGTGTGCTCAGGTGAAGCTAAGAAATTCTGTTGACATTGCAGGTGTCACATGCAGGTTTGAACTCCCAAGGATTGCCAATTCCCCAATGGTCAAACAGAGCCGATTTCCGTACAATGGCCAATCAGGCTTAAACCTGTCCCTTTCATTGCTTGATCATTATACTGTTTAAACACAAAGGAAATATCCTTCAATGAACGTCAGGGTTTATATAGAAACAACCCCTGGCTGAATTTTCTACCCCAAATAATCTGATTGAGGTTGAGATAGAGAGTTCAGAGAACAAACAGAAATCAGGCAGGCTTAGCGTGTGTCTTTTTTACCTGCCTGGTTGCACCTGCAGAAGTTGCATTCACTCCATGCTAACAGGCATAACTTTCTTTGTAAGCCCGGCTCCAGTGTAAGGCTAAAGTGAAACAACCCTCTCAAGACAGGAAACTGTTTCAATTCAAGTCATTATTTGTGCACTTGTTATTTACAAGGTTACAAGAACCATGATGAATATGTGCCCAGGGGTTTTTCATGAAAGGAAATAAGAATACTGAAGAATACTGTTAGAGCCCAAAAGCCAGGCCTTTCCTCTGCAGAGTCAGGGGAGCTCAGGAAACTGGAGACTTTGGCCAAAATCCGCTATAGGCTCTAAACAGTGAGCATTGAGTGCCTTTTGTTTAGTCGGCTCTTTGTGTCCTAATTTTTCAGGTCTTCCATGTGGCGTATGTCCTAATCAAGTTTGCTAATTCACCTCGTCCTGACCTTTGGGTGCTGGAGCGCTCTGTGGACAATGGGAGAACATTCACCCCCTGGCAGTACTTTGCTCGTAAGTTTAACTCTCTCAGTTTTTTATTTTCTTTTTAAGATCTCATGTGTTATAAGCTGTAACTGGAATTATTTAAGAATCAATAAAACAAGAAAAAAAAATCTGTTCACAGGTACAGATTGAAAAATAAACTATTTTACTGCTGCTGTTCTTGTATAATTTAAGGTATTCACAAAAAGTTCTGTTAATATCAATAACAGATTTTTTGTGGATGTTGTAACACGTTAAGCTGTTGTCTAAAAAAATATATATATTGCAAAGGTGGATATATGTGTGTTTAGAGGTGTAGGCCTAATCTATGCACACTTATTACCTGCTTAAGATGATTTAAGAAAGGAAGTGTTAGTCATTCTTTCTCTCTCTCTCTCTCTCTCTCTCTCTCTCTCTCTCTCTCTCTCTCTTGCGTGTGGTCTAGCCTGTCTTTGTGTGTTAAAAAGTCAGTCATAGTAACAAAATAAAATAATATTAAGCTGTAGTTTTCTCTGTTTTAAATGGCCTGTTATGCTAGAATTTAGGTTGGTAAATAAGTTCATGATTTATTTATTTTTTTTTTTTTCATTTCTTCACCAAGACGTACTTCTGTAAGATTCATGAACCTGTTTGAATTAGTGTTCAGGACCTTAGCCTGACATTAATGTTGGACCTTGGTCAGTGATTAGTTTTAACTGAGGTCAAGAAGTAAACCATTTGACATAAAGCTGTAATAGTTAAGCTTGAGATGTTTCGATTAGAATTTTAAGCTGATATGAGTCATTTAAGAATAAACAAATACATTTAAATCAGACACTTATTAAAAAGACAAAGCCAAAAACACATTTAAAGAGTAGCTTTATATTGAACAATTGTATTGACCCACCTTTGAAGTTCAGGAGAATGTTTTCTTAACAGTGATGGATATTTTGTCTAAATCTGAGTTTCAGGTTCTACACATGCAGTTGCTTAATTAAATTACTAGGCGCTTCATTGCTGGTTACACACTTCTGGCCTGATCTTCAGAAGGTTTGTTTTAAACAGGTGCAATTGTGTTTGTATCCACTGAGAAGATAATCAAGGAAGGTGCAAAGGGATTCGCGTTTCAAATGTTGCAGACATCATATTCTAATGGCCATCCTGCACAAATTCATGGGTGTATTATATGCAACATTTAAAGTGTGCAAAGCATTTTTTTTTAATCTGAACTGTAACAGCAGTTTTTAGGTCTTTTTAAATACTTCTGAAAGTGAGCTGCAAATTGATATGCATACATTTTAAAATAAAGTAAAGTAAATCCCTTTATTGTCCCATAATGGGGAAATTCGCTCTGCATTTGATCCATCCCCTCGGAGAGCAGTGGGCTGCCATTGTGTGGTGCCTGGGGACCAGTGTGGGGTTAAAGGTTTTGCTCAGGAACCCAGAGTGGAGGCTGTGGGGATCCAACTTGGTACTTGTAACCTTCTCAGAGCACAAGCACATTGCTTGCAGCACGCCCACTTATTACATGTACTGAAGAAAATAAAAAAAACTAGCAATATGTAAAGGCTGCTAATTTTGAGTCTTTGAATATCAGGCCCTTATTGTTTAACTGAGAGCTCAGAAAAAATGGAAGTAACTTAATAACTTGAATTTTTAGTTCATATTATTTAGTAAGGTGTTTCAGGATTAACTCTTGCATTAGTCTGTTTCATTTTAAAGTTTGTGATGTTTCAGAATAGCGCCAAGACATATGTTGGCCAAACAAATGGTAAGAACTTTGTTGAAAAAATGTAATTTCTTCACCATCATATGAAAGCATCATGGTGTAGGTTAACTGCACCTATTAAGATTTGCCTTCATGCATATTCTCATAATGCAGTCCCCAGATTAATAGAAAAATAAGCAATTATATGTACCTCACTACTTCAATGTCTTCTGATAGATTTAATATTTTTGCTGTTTGGTACAGGGAAACACAGACACAACAGGGACAAACAGCCATACATACTTAGGGTATGTATGGCTGTATGACAGAGTTATCCACAAACTTTAAAATCATATTGTTTAACTGTAGGACAAAGCTTAAGTTCCCAAAGAGAACCCACAAAAGAGGTCTGGCCTGGATTCTGGCGTTCTTATTGAACTACAACACTAACAACAACTGTTCCACCATTAAATATGGCTGTCATTGTAATAGGATTAATTAGATACATTGAAAATTAGGTGGGAATGATTCTTCTAGGTTTTAGATTTAAGGCCTACACAAATTTTCCTCACAACTCTGTTTGCCTATTTTGCAATTCAGTACAATGCATTATATATATATTTTTATCCATCAAAAAATATCTTAAAGTGCCCATAATCAAAGTATTTTCAGTTATATATAAATAGTTAGCACATTTCTCAATAGAACCTAAAATGCAAACCAATACAAAAAATGTGTCAAGACATAATATTTAAATTTTTAACAACTTTTGAAAGTTTGGGTAGTTGGGGTAAGAGGTCTAGGAGTGAAATCCCTTATCTCACTTTTCTAAGTTACATTCTTTTTCTCATTCTGGTGGATTGTAAGTTGCTTTTTAGCCACAATGGGCATCTGTAGTCATTCGAGCAGACTTTGCAGTTCCTCTCCATATACAGGAAAACCCTCATAGAGGTATCCAGGAAGTATCCTAATTAGATACCTGAACCCCCTCAACCGGCTCCCTTTGAATCAGAGGACCAACTGTACTTAAACCACTGAGAACATTCACTTCAGACATTAAGGGAATTTACCCTCAACCACAAAATGCTAGATGCCAGCTGAAGGCCATGATTTGAACAACAACAGAACAGTGGTGTCAAAAGTACACACATTTGTTAATTAAGTAGAAATATAGATACTGCAGTTTAAAAACTCTGGTATCAACTAGAAAAAAGTATCAACTAGACCTCTTTACTGAAGTAAAAATGTAAAAGTATGTGCTCCAAAAACTACTTAAAGTACACAAGTATAAAGTAGCCTTTAACAAAAACAGCCAGATGCCACTTAATGAATTAAAAGCTAAATTTTACGACTATTTGGAAAAATTCTTTGAGATAGGACCAAGGATGAGGGAGGTCTTGTTGTTCTCTGTCTCCATCTCCCGATACGCTCTGGCCTGTGTACGACCTTTCAGACATTTCAACGTCTTTTTCTGAATCCTGCATTGTACCATGGCATAGACAATTCGCGTTTGCAGTTTGAAGAACACCTGCTTGCTTCTGATGATTTCCTTTAGCTAACCAATGAGTGTTTGCATTATATGACTCATCCAATGACACTAGTTTTCTCTAGATGTGGATGGCGCCAATGATCTGCATTGGATGGCGCACATGACGTGAAATAAATATTTATAAACATTAAACCGAAGCCAAGAGTAACAAATGTTTGTTTTAAAAATGTACCGGTAAGGAATATAAAGTACAGATACTTGTGTGAAAATGTAATACATAGAAGTCAGAAGTAGGAAGAAAAATAAGTAACGGAGTAAAGTATAGATACCTAAAAAGTGTACTTAAGTACAGTAATGAAGTATTTGTACTTCGGTACTTGACACCTCTGCAACAGAACATCAATTGCAAAGCAAAGATCAGTCTCTGTTGTGAAACTGTCAGGAATCTGCCTTGAGATCTTGTAGATAATTATGATCATAACAAAATTTTGTGATGATCATGCTCTATTGTGTTCAATAGAGAGTTAAGCCAAAAAGGATTGTAACAATTGGCATTCTTAGTATAATGTGACCCACACTGGAAAATAGCTTAAGCTTGTGCCCCAAACTGGTTGCACTATGCGCATAAAAGCTCATCCCGCATATAGAGCAGAAACAGCAGATAGCCTTTAAAAGCAACTCAGGTTTACCATTCTTTAGCAGCAACCCTCGAGGAAGGCCTCCAGGACTTCTGCACAATGCCGTAACATATAACACAGCAGCATTGAAACAGTAAATGACTGTAAACATCCTGAACCATTAATGTAACTGTACCTATTAAATTCTGTTTATACGAATAAATACCCTTGTAACTTATTCTTGTACATGTTGAAAGAGTACAGTCATTTAAATTGCACCTTTTGCCTATGACATTCTGGTTTCTGATAGAGCTTCGTCATTTATCCATTTTCTGTTGTGCTGGATTTGTAAAATATTGTAATCATTCAACTACAACTTATTTAATTTACTTATTTTTTCTTCCCTTTTCTAGATTCCAAACGGGAGTGTATTGAAATATTTGGAAAACAGCCAAATGGTCGTGTTTTGAGTGATGACGACCAAATCTGCACCACGGAGTATTCACGGATCATTCCTTTGGAAAATGGAGAGGTAACATTAGAAAGAAATCTGGTAACAAATGCCAGGAAGTGTCTGAAAGCCAGTTTACTTGAAATAAACTTTGTACTTTCCAGATTGTAGTTTCTCTGATCAACGGCCGGCCAGGCTCCAAAAACTTCACCTACTCACCAGTGCTCCGTGACTTTACGAAAGCCACAAACATCCGTCTGCACTTCCTTCGTACAAACACTCTCCTAGGTCACCTGATCTCCAAAGCCCAAAAAGACCCCACCGTCACACGGAGGGTAAGACAAAAACAGTACAACGTGGCACCAAGGTGTCATACTGGCATCCTCGACTTTCCCATTTGGATAAAGCTTGGTTCTATGCCTTCTGCCTGGCAGCTTCATTTTTGCTGACACAGTCACACCCCTCTGCTTACACGTTTTCTGGCATTAGGGGTTGGTGGAGAACTAAAGCTGGATCAGTCCGACAGGCCATCTTTGCAAAGCTTTTTATAGGGACAGGTTTGCAAAGTTCTGTCAGTATGTAGGTGTGAGATATATCACTTATGCTTAAAACTCAGGACAACATGCTATTAAAAGAAGCAGCGTACATCCTTTAAGGGGGGGTTAAATTGTATGACAAAATTCTTACAGAATTATCCTCTTTTGGAGATTATTTTTTTTTATTTTGAAACATTGAGATGTAGTCATTGCAATTTTATTCATGTTAGGACATGTTCTAATTGAATAACTAAACTCAATGGTAACAGTTTATATTTGTCATATCTGATTCCCTTTTGTAGCCAAGCATAGACAATTTGCTCCAGGTATGCTGAAGCTGAATGTCTCTGATAACACATCTACCAGTTTGTGCTTCTGCTGATTTTTCTCTGTTTTCTAATAGTATTTTTACAGTATCAAGGATATCAGTATTGGTGGACGCTGTGTTTGCAATGGGCACGCCCAAGTTTGTGATGCAGGTCGGAATCCAGAGAACCCAAACAGGTCGGTAACAGTCTTACGCTTCAACCTCGTTGCTTCATTTTTATTAGGTTGATGCATTTGTCACTACTTATTGATGAAACTCTAAACTTTATCTATTATAATTATTAAGTGTATTCCTGAACAGAACTGAGTCGTCTAAGTGGGAAATGGTTTTTACTGTTTAGAAGCAATCCAGTAAGAGTTATGTTATTGATACAATAAAGAAAGATTAGTCACTGTTTTAGAAATAGATTTTTTTTTTCATCTTAACATTTATGTTTTAGAAAAATGCCAGATACAGTACCAATAAATGCTGTACATAGATATGTAATAAATATGGCGTAATAATACTTTTAGATCATGAGACAATACAGGTTATCGGGTTGGCGAGAATAAGCCCAAACAAGTTTTCAGCTTTATTTTTGGGGAAAAATAATAAACACTCCAGTTATTTTCCACCAAACCAACAGCAGCTCTGGTTGGTAGCCAGTATTCCTGGGCACAGCACCCAGCAATTTATTTAAACCTTTTGGTTTCAGAAGCATCGGTCCTTCTGCTGAATCTATCCAAACCTTGTTATGTCCTTTTTGATTAGGCACACTCATGGTGTGTATTCCCCTTAAAATAATATCTCAAAAGAGTATCAATGCAGGATTTCTGTCCTTGTAATCTCAAGAGCTCCAATATCCACAATGGTAAAAAGCTGCATTTTTTTCTTCTTCTTATCACTGTAATTTTATCTGTTGTTTTTTTATTTTTTGCACCACCCTTTTAACTGTTTTACTGACTGGGTGAGTACACAATCAGTGCAGCAACAATAACCTTCACACAGACATCCATACAGAATCCCCAGTGGAAAAGTATATAACACAGAATTTGATTAGAAATAATCAAAAACAACATTAGGCAGCCATGGAGTAATTCAAAATAATGTTAAAAAAGTCTTGGATGTAAGAGATTTTCAGTGGTGCAGTTCCAGACTGCACATCTTAACAAATTGTAAAGATATCAGATCCCACAGACTGCCATTTTGTGTCCCTGAGCAAGACCCTTAACCCAAGCCTGCTCCCCGTGCGCCAACAGTGGCAGAATTTCCCCCTTGGGGGACAATAAAGGATTTACATTTACATCAGTTGTTGTGAACAGGAGTTTTATAATTGCTCAACTTTAGGCCATGTACTGAAATTTACCAGTCTGCCAAAGCAATGGATGTCTAATCATCTAATGCATTTCCAACATCAAACCAAATATCATTCTCTGTTGAAGGTGACACGATTGTCATAGCTTCGTGGTGATAATGTGTGAACCATGTGTGAATGATGTGCAGCCTGAAGTGTTGTCTCAGATGTGTCAAACATCACAGAATCACTATGTCCCACTGTCTCGTCCTCTCACTTTAGACTCCAGTGCGAGTGCCAACACAACACCTGTGGCGAGTCATGTGACCACTGCTGTCCAGGCTTTAACCAGAAGCCGTGGCGTGCTGCTACTGTTGACAGCCCCAACGAGTGTCAGCGTGAGTGTTCTTGTGCATTGCTTCATTCCACATGTAGAGCTTACAGGGCTGCCCCTTCCCACGTCGGTGACTTTTGAATTACATTCCCAAGAGAGGACTGGAGTATCCTCTTGTCTCTGATATTCAAACCCAGTTGCTGATGCCCTGATATGGTATTGTATAGAGTTAGTGTCAGTGAAGATTTGACAGGACATTCCATATATGGTTTGTGTGATGAGTAACTGGCCTCAGGATAGCTGCTTTTTGTCTGCTTAACCTGTTGGCTGGTACTGTAGGTCGTACAGGCCTGCACCAGCCTACAGTAGATAGTGAAATTACTTCTGTCCAGAGAAGCATCAGAGCATGAATCCACAGGACTGAATTGAAGTGGACTTTTGAGATCATTTCCGCAAGACAAAAGTGACTTTTAAAACTATTCACATCCCCAAGTTTGGTCATATTTTCAAACTTTAATACCAGCTTTGCACATCTAGTGACAAAAATCTTTGAATGTTTTTTCTTCTGAAAACACATATGTAAAATTCTTGCCAGAGATTTTAAATTGTAATTTGATCTGGACTCTGACTTATAGTACATGGATATGTTTTCATATAAACCAGTAAATCTTTGGCTTTATGTTCAGACATCATGCCTCCAGGTCTTTGCTTGAACAGTTTTTTCTTCGATGAATGCATTACATTTTGCTCCAACAATCTTTGCATCAAATCTGACCATATTCTGTGTCCCTGCTAAAGAACAGTATTCCGACAACATGATGCTACCACCACCATCAGCTTGTTATTCATACATGTGCAGGCTACAATGCTTATGTAGTTGTGCTGAGCTGAATTAAATACTTTTGAAATGCACTGTATTGCCAATATAGCCCTGAATTAAAAGTTGTAGGAAAGAAGACTAACAATAGAAACAGTTATTCAGTAGAAATACATAAACACGAGTGAGTTCCAATGCAAATGTTCTTATTTTGTGTTTGTCTGCTTGTCTGTCTCGGGGCTTTCCGTCTCAGCCTGCCAGTGTTTCTCCCATGCCTCTGACTGTTATTACGACCCAGAGGTTGAAAAGAGGGGAGCAAGTTTGGACACCTTCGGTAGGTACAGTGGAGGAGGAGTCTGCATCGGCTGCCAGGTATGAAATTTGTATCATGTTCAAACTGATTCTTGTCAAAGCATGCATTTCTCTTCTGGGGGGGTAATTAAACTGAAAAAATAGATAAAATGTCTCTGTTTACATAGTCTTCTGATAAGTCTAGCATACTGCATGATTTTATCTCAGCTTTATCCTTTTTCCTTTTTGGCCTTTTTACATAAATCATAAAAAGCAGTTACTTCCTTGATAAAGACAAACTGTTATAGAATAAAATATTTGCAATTACCTTTATACATTTTTTAAACAACAGATTGCACTAGGCAGTCTCCAGAATAATGTTTTGATTAGACATATTTCAGATAACATACCTGCAGTAAATATACATATAAATAAAAATTACAGAATCAAAAACACAGCAAATGCTCTTAACGGCACTGTCACACCTTGATTATTGAGCCAGCGTATGCCGATGTAAAAAAAAAAAGATTTGACAAAAATGCTGCAGAGCATTGGATAAGTTATGAGTATGTTATGAGCACGCTGAAGCACACTGGCACACGTTGACGTACAAGACATTTTGAGCACGCTCAAAATTTCTTGACATATACCAGAGTATGCTGATACGTGAGGCACAAGTTACAGGTAAGTTATTTGGTTGTTAGTTGGTTGTGAGTGTGATGGATCCTCACTGCGTTCACACCCATGGCCACGACCAAAAAAACTTCCTAGCAGACATTAAGCTGAATCTGCTACTTCTGCAAACCTTCTTTCTATTTTTCTTTTTTTGGCGAATGATAAACAGCAGGATGTTCTTTTTCCGGGTGGATCATTAAAATAGGCGGTCCTCCTAATTGTCAATCATTCTGTTGATATGTTTATGTAAGGCCATCCTACGTGCTCGTTCCCATTTAACTCACCGGTGGTGAGTCAGACATAGTGGAAAAATTGCAAGTTTTCTTTTGGAAAGTAAGCTTGTATGAGCGATGCAAACAGCAACTTTTAAACAGAGCGTGCACAAGGAGAAATGGGCTTTTGCATGCTTTCACATGCGTTTAATAGGCGTTCTCTCTCGGAAGTAGGTACAGGGTTGTGCATGTGCAGTTTTTTTTTTTTTATTTGGAGAGGGCAGGTCTTTTTAAAAATTTGCGAAAATCCTCCATACCTACATACATTATACCGCCGTTATACCTTCCCTAAATGCGAGGTTTAGAGAAATCTTCTTGTGCTTTTTATGCAGGCCGGGTGCATTGCTGCCACCCTCAGGTCGCTGGCTTGTGACATTTCATGCGCCATAAGTGTGTGGTTCTCATTACAAAACCTAAAGCAAAACTTTATTCCCCTTTAAGTTTGCTACTGATGCTTCCTATTCAGTACAGAACTTAGTTAATGACAATTTCCTCTTTTCGCACAAACTGGTAACACTGGTTTTGGTTTTCTAGCAGCTGAAGGTAAATGTCAGGTTTCGGGGTTTGGTGAATTAATCCTGTAATAAAAGCTAAATATTAAGAGCTGGTTTGATGCAGTAGTCACATGCAGATAGGCAAATTCAGAAAGTTTATTATATATCAAAGGATATATATTATATTTAATCAAATCAGAGCCCAAACTCTAACTACAAGAAATAATACAAGGAACCAACCAGCATAGAACCATGAAGAATTAGCAGGTTAAAATAACAAGGAGAAATGAGAAGACATAGAGTGTTGGGAGAGTGCTTAATGAAACATCGAATGGGTAATTAACTGAATGTAAAAAAAGCTTCAGGGAAACATTATGGGAAACCAAGGAGAGGTAAGGCGAAAACAAGCAAACGCAGGGATACACTGGGAAAAAGCTTAACTATGAGTAAGCACAGATTGACTAAACAAAAGAGTGTATAAAAAAAATCAATCCAAAACTAAACAACAGGTGTCAGAGGAAAATCCATAAGTAGAACCTAGTGCAGAGAAGAAAAAAGACTACCAAAATAAAACAATTGAACCGTGTTCAAACAGAGCAGTATTTAAAAGACTAATACTCTGGAAAATAAACCAATTATCAAGGACTTAACTGGAATAATCACAAAATTAAGATAAAATGCTTTACCAAGGTCCCAAGAAACTTCAAGCTAAATCCCTCTCATCGGAAAAGGAAAGTTTAAATCCATGGTTTTAAATTGAGAAATTTGCCTAGCCCTTCAAATATATTAGACAAGATATATAAACAATAACAATTAATTTTGCAATTGTGCAAAATAGCTGTTTGTTTTTTTCACAGTTTTTATGTGTTATGCATGGTAAGTGTTTCTGTTCTTTAGCACAACACTGCAGGAATAAACTGTGAGAGATGCATTGAAGGCTTCTACAGACCACATGGAGTGCCTCCCGAGTCTCCGATTGGATGTATACGTGAGTTAAACTTTTTCATTATTCTTTTTACCTGTTTCAGAAATGAATGTCCTACCCTGAGTAGTAAGGAAATAGTTCTACCCCTTTTACCTTCTTAGAGTTTTTGGTTTCAGAACAGGTAACATCAATCCGGTAACTAAACTCAGCCACTAATTAACTCTGAGCTTAGCACGGGCATAAAAAGCCCTCACTGATGGAACATAGATAATAATATTTACCTTTATCTGGGGTAGGACAGGACAGAAGCCTCTAATAATTCAGAAAAAAATACATGGCATTCATATATAGATATTGGATGTGAAAATAGATTTAAGTATAGGGATTTTTCTCAATGAGGAAAAGCTCTATATTTTAAGGAACTGTAAAAGAAATGTGACATTAAAAGGTGGTTTTACTCAATTTTTATCTACCTGCACAGTGTCATTTTTTGTGGGCACTGAATCTGTGTCTAGCTGCAGCATAATAGTCAGCAATTAGTGATGTGATACCTTAAGATTTTGCACTGCCAGCATTTCATATTGAACTCCAACCTCAACAGACTCTTCCAGAAAAGGATGCGCCATTTTCAGCACTTTCTGGGGAGATTTAACTGAAAAATAGGAATTACCCAGGGTTACTGAGTAAAACCCTGCTGCATAGTTGGGTCATTTAACTGAGTGATTTGTTGTCATAATTTTATTCAGGGTAACGGCTAATGGGGACATTACGTAACTTTTTGCAGCCTAACTTTTGTTGTGAAATTTCTTGTCATCAAGAAATGGCAGTACATTCATTTTGACTGCTTAGTAAGGAAATCTTAGCTTGATGTTTGTTGGGTCATTAGTTTTTCAATGTAGTTGAGTCTTTCATAAATAATGAAAATAGCATAAATAAGATACTGCATGTTTTCAGTTGTTCACTTTCCGGACATCTAATGCACAACATTTCTCATTTAAGACTAATGGTATTTTTCCCCCTCTTCAAATAAAAAATTAAATTGATAGAATTAACTGAAGATCTATTAAACTATTCTAAACATGCAAAGAAAAATAAATAGTTTACATATAAGTTTACTGTAAAGCAAAATACTTTTCTAAAAAACTTTCGTTCTGTTTTAGTTTTTTGATGGTGTTTGTTGTGTTTTATCAAACTCGTTGTGTTATAAATCTGGAGCCTCAACTCTTTACCTTAGATCTTTGCTGTAGATCCAATCGATACAAGGAGACGTTAGCACGGTTTTCCAGGTTGTGCTTCTGCTGGTTGAATCTAGAAACCTCATGCACATGATGGCATTTGATCTGCAGTATAACCTGTGAAGCCTAAATAGAGTTTTACTCAATGAAGGGCTTAACAGTGTTGTTACAGACAGTCCCAAATGGCACCAGTGCAGCGACGACACTGGCACCAATGGTTGCACTATGTCTAAACTGGGCTTTACCATTGTTTACCTTACTGGAATGCTTTGTAGCTGTTCTTTGTGGTAGGAACAGCTGAGAGTTCTGTTTGGACTTTAACAAGTGTGGGGATGTAAAGTGCTCACCCTACTTTGAAGATTGAACCACAGAATCCACAACAAAATCCCTCCTGTATGTTTAGGAGGGAAATGTGTGGAGGGTTAGTAGGTATCTTCTATGTTACTAAAACATTTTTGCTATTTAGCTTGTCTCTGCAAAAAAATCTATTCAATTAAACTTTAAAATTCCCAATTTTAAAGAAAATCTTATTACCATCCCCAGATGTTATTACTCAATGCAACACATTATTTGTATATAAAAAATGTTAAAGGTTGAATCTTTAAAAGTTCTGAATGCAGTTCCATGCCTTTTTCTCATGTTTTTTTTATTTCACAGCTCATTTTGCAGGTTTTGTTTTATGGGGTTTATGTCTAGCGGAACCCAGATTGTCATGAATTGAGTTTACTTTCTGTATTGATTTGGTTATATCCCACTGCACAAAAACACATCTATATGAAGTCTTTTCAGGTCTCTTTTGCACTTTTTAATTTCACAAACATCAGACGTGCAAAGGCAACCTCAAAAAGACATCATAGACATGTCTTTGCACATCTTGTATGTTAAAAAAAAATAAATCTATCTGCACCTGTGTTTGATGTTTTTATAAAGTCAAAAAACGACAAGTCAGATGTTTAAACATTGAACTTATTTGCACATCATGTAGACATCCATAATAGGTCATCAACCTAAGGACCCTATACAGACATAATCTGTACATCCATCTGATGATTTATATTAAGTGAGATGTTTGAACTAATTATCCTTCTTTAATTTGATGCAGTCTGATAGGGGTAACAATAACTCAGATAAACTCCTTAAACAGTTCTCTAAACCTTTTAGCCCCTTCTCCACGCTTATGGATAGGCATGAGTGGATTTTCTTACATGTTGATATTATGCTCTACACCAGAACTTCCTGTGTTTGTCAGTAACAAGTTCAGTCTTAGTGTTATATAACCAAGGTACAATCTTTTGATAGTTTCCCAGTAGATTTTAATAATAAATGACTGTGTCAATTGTTGTTATATAAAAGAAAGCGCCAACTGTAGAAAGAGGAAAGTTTAGCTAATGAGTTATTTATTATAAGCTATTCCTCGGCTTATGCTCAACATACTATTCACCATTTTCTAAAACTGTCTCAGAAGAAATGTGAAATATTCTATTCATCCCAAACTGTAACAAGGTTTTATGGATTACTTAATGTTCTAAGATACTCACATTATTTTAAAAGTTTAATCTACATGAATTAATATTACAGTTAGACTATGCTGTTTTTTTAGTGAATGTTAGTAATTATGTGTGGTGTTTATTTGAGTTCATTGTGTGAGATTACTCTAAATTAATTAAATAGTTTAATGTTTAGGTTTTTTGTTTTTTACAGATATTAACCTGTGACCGAGAGTGTATCTGTTAGAGCCACTGGGTTAAATGTTTGCTGATGAAATTAATTTTTCTTTAGCTTGTAGCTGTGATGAAAGGATAACAGATGGCTGTGAGATGGGGTCTGGAAGGTGTATCTGCAAGCCACAATTTGCTGGAGAAAACTGCGATCGCTGTTCCGATGGACATTTTTACTACCCAGAGTGCTTTAGTAAGTTTAACCTTTCTTATATCATTAATATCTTTTGTATGCCATATATAATATACATTAATCTAGACCATAACTAATTTATCGTTCATATTTTTTACATGCCTTTAATAAAATAAAGGTTTTATGCAACTCAACATTTAACATATGAAGTCCTTGTTTGTTTGAAATCATGTGCCCTTGAAGTTTGTTTAAGCAGGTTGTTTCTTTTGTTTGTTTTTTTTGTCCTGCAAGAGAAGAGTTTATTCCTTCTGAAAAACAAGGAGAGATAATTCACACCCTGCAGATAGAACAGGTTATTGCGCATTCCAAAAAAGAGATATTGAAATCTAAGAAAGAATTTCCCCATATTATCATATGGATCTTCCCTGTCAAAGACTAAGCTTTGAGCAAAGGGGTGGAGATAAGACAGTCATTTTTTCATTTTTTTGGTAATTCTTTATGTTTCCTCTAGTGTTTCCGTTGACACTGACACATGGCTGTGCCAGGATTCATTACAACCTCAAAAGTACTGAATGTGCACAGAAGAATCTTACCAAATCATCCACAATTTATCTATGTTACCTGATGTATCACCAGTAATGGTATTACCTGTGTACTGTATTAATGCTGCTTCACACACAGGCGACCTGTCGTGTGCAAACCTGCCTGAGGTCCTTCGGATCTTAAGTCTTTTACTTCACCTTTAATTGCCATTTATGAGTAAAATACTTTTTCTAGGTTTGATTGCCCTGACAATCCAGGACACAGCATGTTGACAGTTATTAGGAAGCTGTCTGGGTTCCCTGAAATGTTTGTTTTTTGTCTTCACGTGGATCAATGTTTCTTCATATTATGGGCTGGCATTTAATGGGAAGGTGTGTAAACCTGGAATTACATGATAAGTACAACACATTTAAAGCAGGGGATGAAAACAGTCCAAGTTTCTATAGTAAAAAATGCTAGGATGTAATTTAAATTAACAACAAAAAATATATATTAATCAGTAATGTTTAATGGAAGTCTATGTTCCTGTTATATGCTTTTGTTACGAGAATTTAATTCTTGCAGACTTCTGATTCAAGAAAAATAATATCATGTGATTATTTTCCTAAATGTCTTTCTTTTGTGCCTTTTTTTTTAAATAGCTTATCCTGTGTACTTGACAACTGAATCACCTGCAGGCCCTATAGTGGGTGAGTTAATTTTGTTGCTTGTCACAACATAACTGAATCTAGTAGGCACTTTAAAACTATTTCTTTTTTTCCCTCCCTATGAAGGACCCACTGCCTGCCCCCCAGGCTATTTCAACTCCCCTACATGTCAACGTAAGTGCAGTTAGAGCTAAAATGAGTGTTTTAAGGCAGGGCTATGTTAAATGCTTTTGTTGTTCGCTCTCATGCACTTTTTTTGTATTTATAGGCTCTTGAAAAAGCTTTTTTATTGGACACTTAATTCAGCCTTGTTTACTAAGAGGAAGACAAAAAGGAACGATAGCAGGGTGTTAGGAACCAGTGTTACTAAGTTTGCGCTTGAGTTAAATGTTAATAAAAAGGGCGGTAGGTTAACCATGCATGAGACATTTCTAAACATGGTGTCTCCTATATTTGGAAAAAATAAAGGGATAGAATATTTACATGCTTCATAAGAATCTCCACTAGACAATATAAGCATAAAAGACTGATGGTTCAAAAAAGATCTGGTCTATCTTTGGGGATATAAAGTGCTCTCTGTTCTCTTGTTATGGTAGCACTCCTCTGGGACTTTTTAGTGAGAACTCAACCAGGCTAATATTAGAAATATTGAAGTTGTGATTTCTTTTAAGCTGGGAATCAGCAGTTTAGGAAAACCTTTAACCCCTGTCAATTTCAATCATTTCATTCCTCTAAGAAAATAAACATAGAGGAATCATTTAAGCAGCTTTTTCATCCTGTAAGTTGGCTGAGATAGATGGTATTTTTGTGACTTTCCAAAGGAAGCAGTCATCAGCTTTTTAGTCTAAAGTTGCTGCACAAAATACCATCAAGCAATGTCAAGTTTACCTACTCTTCAGTAGAAAACATCATACTGTATGATTTTGCTCTTATTGTGTAATATAAATATCTCTACTGTGTTTGTCTGCAGCATGCATGTGTGACTACAGAGGGACAATTCATGTTGTATGTAATGTTTATGGGCGCTGCCTTTGCCGTCGGGGAGTGAAGGGAGAGCGATGCGACCAGTGTGAACCTGGATACCACTCCTTCCCAAACTGTCAGGGTAGGAGAACCATAACCTCAAGGAAAATACTCATAATGATAATTTTTATTTAGAAAGCGATGACCAAGGAATGTCAGAATAAGCTCCAGCAAAATGACCTGTAGTGATTTTTTGATTATAACTTCACTTTGTGTATGATGACATATTTTCTTTAGCATGCCGCTGTGGTGGAGCTGGAGTGGCTGAGAGCATATGCAGTCCGAATGGTCAGTGTAACTGCCTCCTTAACTACCAGGGCAGTGAGTGTGACCAGTGTGCACCAGGTTTCTATGGATATCCAGACTGTGTTGGTGAGTTGTGATTTTTTGATCCTACAAAAATAAAGAAATAACATCACAGAGCTTTCCGTATGAATGCATTCTAGGAGCATCAAATCTAGAATTTACCACGCTATTTCCTAAAACAACTACGTAATCTTGTCTTATCTTATACATGGCACTCAAAGAAATGAAATGCAGGAAGCAGTCATCAGCTTTTTAGTCTAAAGTTGCAGCACAAAATAAAATCAAGCAAGGTCAAGTTTACCTACTATTCAGTAGAAAACATCATACTGTATATAAGCTGGGCTGCTCAGCTGAAAATGATTTTGCTCTTATTGTGTAATATAAATATCTCCACTTTGTTTGTCTGCAGCATGCATGTGTGACTACAGAGGGACAACTCATGCTGTATGTGATGTTTATGGGGGCTGCCTTTGCCGTCGGGGAGTGGAGGGAGAGCGATGCGACCGGTGCGAACCTGGATACCACTCCTTCCCAAACTGCCTGGGTAGGGGAACCCTAACCTCAAGGAAAATACTCATAATAATAATTTTTATTTAGAAAGCGATGACCAAGGAATGTCGAAATGAGCTCCAGCAATATGACCTGTAGTGATGTTTTGATTATAACTTCACTTTGCGTATGATTACATATTCTCTTTAGCATGCCGCTGTGGTGGAGCTGGAGTGGCTGAGAGCATATGCAGTCAGAATGGTCAGTGTAACTGCCTCCCTAACTACCAGGGCAGTGAGTGTGACCAGTGTGCACCAGGTTTCTATGGATATCCAGACTGTGTTGGTGAGTTGTGATTTTTTTGATTCTACAAAAATAAGGAAATAACATCACAGAGCTTTTCGTATAAATGCATTCTAAGAGCATCAAATCTAGAATTTACCACTCTATTTCTTAAAACATCTACCTAATCCTGCCTTATCTTATACATGGCACTCAAAGAAATGAAATGCAGTAATAGTCAGGGTCTCAAATCCAAACAGGATCAAAATTAGACATAAAAGCTCAAATCTAATTATACACACTCTTGATATTTAACTAAGTGTCCCTTAGATAGTTGCAAACAAACCACGTCTTTCAAAGCCATTTTACACCTTTAATTATCATGGTTTCCCCCACAAACCAAGCTTTTTTTGCAAACAGGGTTAAAATCAGACATTTTTTGAAGGGTAATTCTACAAGCGATTTGGTTGAATACTGTTTTATGCGTTTTACTTGTTATTGTCCCATTGGAAAACCCAAAAGTTTCCAAGTTTCATTCATCTGTCCTTAACGGTAACTCTCAAATGAAAGGAAGATAGTTATAATGTTCAAAAGCAACCGAAGGGATTCATCAACCAGAAGATGCTGGAACACCTGTCTTACTCACCAAGCCAACCGCAGATTGAATTGGCTGATAAAAAGCTCCTGTTCTACACTATGACCAGTTTGACATGCTGACATAGATATTGTAAGCTTTGAGGAGTCAGTTTGATGCATTCATACCTAAGAACACTGCCAATTGACTGAGGTTGTGTCATCATACTGGATAAAATTTTAAAGGAAGAGTTATTATTTTTAGAGTTGGACACAACTGGGTTTTCCAACAGGAGGAGGACCCCAAATATCATCTAAATATTGTTGGAATAAATACGCTAGTGTTCATTTAGGCATTTGAAATTGCTCACTCCACAATACTGTTAAACAATGAGAGGACTACTAACAAACATTGAGTTGGTGCCAGGAAATTTAACCAGTTTAATAAGCTCTGTCAATTCTGCAGAGATCATCCATAACAAATGTGCCAGGATGTTATTGACTGCTGCAGAAAGTGTTTGGGTTCTCTATTTCTTCATGAAGGCCATCTAAACAGTTTAGTAGTGGAGTTTGAATACATTCGAAGTAACCTGATAAAAAAAATAAAAACTAGTGGTGGGCATAGATTCATTTGTTTTAATCTAGATTAATCTCACAGTAATCTATTAAAAATATCAGGTTTACTTTTTTCATGTTTGCATAATCACAAATTTGTAATTTTGTCTTCCTGCTTAAGGTTTTGACAAATTTATAAATATTTGTTTTGCTTATCTGTTACTGTGTTTTTGCTGCAAAAAATAGAGCATCCCACTTCCAATTTTAGATGTCCCACTTTAGCAATATAGACTTTGGGGCAACAGCGTTTGAGGATAATACTAAAATCTGTTTTGCTATGCCATGCTCTTGCTATGTGAGGATTCCGAGGTTTTTAAAAATGTATCATGACTCTAGCTCTAGAAATGAAATAGGCTGGTAACAAACCCCATAGAGTCAACACAAAAACCGTCCCATTTTACCCACTTTCACCAAAGCAATCATCAAGAAGCACGCATAATATTGTCCCCCGTCAGTGCTGCACATTTCGCTTCTACCAACTTCTCAACTTTCACGTCTGTCTGAACGAGGACATTAGTTAGCTTGGCTGATAGAGCTCTGCTGATGGGCTTGCCTCGGTTACACTCAAACATTATAGCTTGATGAAAATGACTCTTCCACTGCGCTACATCAGTGCGTGGCCTCTTTAGGTGGTACTTGAGACTGGAAGAACTCCTGCAGTAAACCCATTGCACACATGTGCAAACAGCTTTAGTCTTGTCAATCTTTCCATTGGGAATCTTCTTAAAAATAAATTTTCCTTGAAGTAAACCTGGCGTCTTTATAGCTGCATCATGTCAGCACGTCATGTTGAATGTGGTAATTTCACAGCACGCCTACACAGGTTGGAAGACCGATTCGTTCTCGCCCCCAGATATACACCTGCGCCTGATATACATCCGCGCTAAAATATCAAGGTGAAAGTTACCATTAGTTTAGACCCAGCTCCCATCCCAACTGTGAGAACAGATTAACAGTGATGCATTTTTTATTGCCCCATAAAAGTTAATGCCGATAACAGCCAACAACTAAAAAAAAAACCCTACCAAAGTCGACTTACAAAAAGGATTGACTTTTGTATTCTTAATTTGCCCTTGAAAGTAAGCAGATCTAGAATATATTTATCTATATTTCTATATGTTCTATATTTAAATTGATTTTAGATTCAGGCATATGATGAGTGTACGTACTGTATATTTCTATTGCTGTGTTTGGCCTTTTCAAGAATGGACAACTGGGTATCACTAGAATAAACATCTGTATGAAGGACCATAAAGCTTTTACTGCAGAAGTTAAGTTATAAATTGTGATGTTTGTTTTCTCCAGCCTGTCGGTGTTCACCAGAAGGTTCATATGGATCTGCATGTAATCCCTTATCGGGTCAATGCCTGTGTCTGCCAGGCGTGGTAGGCCAGCAGTGTGATCGCTGTGTGTCTGGACTAAGGTTTCCTCAATGCTCAGGTAGGCACCACTGAACACACTGCATGCATCACAGTTGTAGGAAGTGAGAATAATCAGATTTGCTTTAAATTAGGTTAGAGAAGGTTTCTTTTAAGCTTCAGAATTATTCCATTCAATTTTGGCATAAACTTTTTATGCATTAATTTATGGTCTCTCTTGTTTTTTACCGCAGAGTCCATCAGTTTTTGTAACCCAGATGGAACAGAGGTGTCCAGTCCTCAAACAGTAAGCCGCCAGCTATTAACTTAACCTGCTCTTATCAAGTTTCCTTTAGTTCCTGTCCAACCCAGGGTGGTGATTTTACATAGATTTACTATCCCACAGCTGATAACGTGGCTGAACTTTGGCTTGAATTTTAAACTGCAAAACAAAGGAAGGCTTTTCCCGTGGAATGCACACGTAACCAAACAAGGAAAGAGAGACTTCCTTCCATCTAGAAACGGAAGAAACAATAATCACACAAAGCAACTCTCGGCTACTAATGTGGTTATACTTCCAAAGTTGGCAACATACACCCCACCTAGAAGATTGGGAAAAAAAAAAAGCTGAAAGTTTTCGTTTCAGAATACTTGCTCTGTAACACTACAGTATATGCAGGCCCTCGTGACTGATTAGATCTTGGTATATGATGGCAAACCGATATAACCTGGTTTTAAGCAACTGCATGCAGTCTGGACAACTCTTAGATTCCTTATTTGCTGTTTCAGGGGGCCTGCCAATGCCGAGCAAATGTAGAAGGAAGGTTGTGTGACAGGTGTAAACCTCTCTACTGGAATCTAGCTGCAGAAAACTCTAATGGATGTACAGGTAAGAAACCTGAAATCAATGCTACAGTTATATGCATAGTAAAGGTTTTCAAATATCTTTTAACCATAAAACCGCAAACTTAGCTGCATTTTATTCAAAAGTTTTATAATTGATAAAAAATGTACCACATTTAAATTTTGCCTTTGTTAGTCAATCAACTTTCCCTGTAACAACATCGGCAGGTCTTTAGGGGCATGTTTCTACCAACTCTTAAAGGGATCATAGAATGATTATATAGGGTATTTGATGCTGGTCCTTAAGGTCTCTGAATAGGATGTGCTGGAAATGGCATATTTGCTGTTCTATGGGCCCTAATGCAAGCCTGGTTATAAGTCCTAAAATGAAAAAACAGGTTTTCTTCCTTTTATGGTATGCTCATTAATATTTAAATGAGCTGTGCGCTGATTGGTTGGTTTACAACGAGCAAAGATGCATCATAGCAACAAGCACTCACTTACTGAAACATCAAATTGTTGATATGGTAGGGTGACTAGATGTCCTCTTTTGCCTGGACATGTACTACTTTTGATAGCTAAAAAAAATGTCCCGGGGGAATTTCAAAATCGTCTACCATACCTTGAGCTGACGGCTCAGTTGCCCGGTGAGGTCCAGTCAGTGTCCCAGCAACACATCCACCCCCCACCCCCTTTCCTCCTTTCAGAAACCCAAATCTGGTCACCCTAGATATGCTATCATTACTATCAACAGCTTAGCGACAAAATAATACTTACAGCTTGTGGTTGCGATGGCCTTACAGTCGGAACAGACCCTCGTTTCAGTAAAAGAAGTTTAGCAAATCCTGCTTTGAACTGTCCAAGATTTTGAAATTTGTCTTCAGTAAAATGCTTAGAGAAAATTAACAGCTGAGCATCAAACTTTGCAGGGATCTTCAAATACACAAAAATATTCCATGCCTGTCATGTCTTTGGATCCTTGGGAAGGCTGTGAAAAATTTGGCGTTTCTCAGTGCAGCCTAGAACACTGCATTTCCACCTGTGGTTTTTGGCTCATTTTCAATAGAGAAACTGCCTGCTTTGTAATTCTTGTAGACGTAAACCCAACTGTAGGCTAAACAGCTAAACTGGTGGCTTTCATCTACCTCTAGTCATGTTTTTGGGCCAGTGAACCAGTGGGCTGGTCTGTATGTACAATTGCAGGGCGTGACAAAAGTGCAGGCCAGAACCAAATATGGCAACATCCCCGAGTTGACATCAACTCGGGTCTTCAATTGGATTCACCCATTTTATGGTGGAAGTTTAGAATTGTGAGATTTGCAGAGAAAGGAGGTGTCAATGGGGTTAGAACTTCTCTGTACATCAATTTCACCCACTAAACTATCGTTATTCATCTATGACAATGTAAATTCGGTTTTGCATTATATGTCCCCTTTAATGCTATTAGAGTGAAATTGTTATGAAAAATCAGGTTTTGAACCAGGTTAATAGATTTATCTTGTACTGGACTTTGACAGGAACATGCTGACATAGAGAAACCTAAAGCATTTTGCAGCTTCCAACATTTTTCTTCTAGCATTGTTCTGCATCTCGTTCCATCTACTTTCTTATCGACACTATGCCATCCTAACTGTTGAAATAAATAATCCTATAACCATGCTGCTGCTGCCATATGTATGTGTCACTGTGGTAATGCTTCGTTCACTGCATGTGTTAGTATTTAAATTTGGTCTGATCTGACCAGAGCATCCCATCCACATGTCTGCACTGAACCATAAAACTGAACCCTGCACTTCTTTTGACTTTCTGCGCTCTTATCACCATTGTTTCCTAGAGGCCTGATCGGCAGAGTGCACAACTAATAAGTGAGCTATATACAGATTCAAACAGCTATGGAGGTCTCTTATGGTCTTTAGGGGATACATTTAGAGTAAATAATCAATCTGGTTTTCTGTTGCCAAAACAACGGCTCCTGAGTTAAACATAAGTTGCCTGCAGCATTTATTTTTTTTGTTCACTGACCCAATTCTTAACTGGATTGTTTGATAACCAGAAGCAGTCTGAAAATGTACTGATCTGAGCCCCTTTTTACACAGAGAATATGTTATCATATCCCTGTCAACAAGGCCAGGCTGGGTTTCCTGATAACATTACTTGAGCAAATTCTTGCGGACGTTCATAGCTTAGACTGGTACATTAAAACATTAACTGTTTAATTCAGATTTCTCTGTATTTTGACTGTGCAAAAAGTGTGCATGAGTAAATCAGCTAAAAGCAGCTCACATGGGGAAGATAAGGTTGATCCCTTTATGGTTGAAAAACAGCTTCAAGGGTTTTCCAGAAATTGCCCTCATGTTACAGCTTTTCTCTCCTGCCAGACTGATCTCTCTGCCACTAAGCCTGAAAACACAGGACACACTTTTAATATCTCAAGAATGCCTCTAGTTGAAGTAGACAGACATTCAGGGAAACTTTTTTTTAACACAGTTATCTGTGTATATAAAAAAAGAACTTTCTCATGTCCTTTGACCTTAATTTCTTTGAAGCTTGAAGAGTTTTCCCAGTTGTTGTGTTACACCTGTGGGTGTTAGAAAATCCTGTAATCAGAATCTATTCACAGTTTCTCCTCTGTTACATCTTTTCAACCCCTCCCTTCAATTTTCTCTTGTTTCTTCCATTCCAGAATGTCATTGTGATCTGAGAGGGACACTGAGCGGTGTTGGGGAATGTGAGCAGGTGGGTATATTACAAAGCAATACACCCATGCACAAAAAAGGTCTATCCCTGTTTAACTGCATTGCAAGTGCAGCAGTCTTAATGAACCCTCTCTTTTCTGTGTGATTTGTTTCTACAGAGAAGAGGGCAGTGCCACTGTAAGCCAAGTGTGTGTGGCCTTGCATGCGACTCTTGCAAAGAGGGATACTTCCTACTGCAAAAAAAGAGATATTTTGGCTGTCAGGGTAAGATTTTTATTCATCAAACATTAAACATCAAATGTCATTAAGATGCACTGCATTTTCGAGGCATGCATTACCGTAATCTGAAATATAGTTGTAACTATATAACTAACAATGTGTTTGAACTGTAACATACCTTAACCCTGACCATTCCTAATGAATGCCAACATTTTATAATTCAGTGTGCCACATGCCAGAGGTGGAAAGTCTAAAATAAAAATAAAAAATAAAAAACCTGAAACAAAGCAGCTTTGCTGTGCTGGCCATTACATGTCACCAGAGGTAGACTTTCCTTTTAAATTGCTGCCAAATCTCAAATTCTTTTCCCTTGATTTTAAAGTAGGACATCTTCTTTACACCATGAAAGCATCTAGATTGAAGAGTGTTGACAACTGTGTATGGTCAGATAAATAAAACAATAATAAATACAAATAGAGAAATCTTTTATTTTGGGGGGGGATTTAAATCACTTACAAGAGAAGAGTAATAAATCCTATTGGAAGTTGTGACTGCACTTTGTAAACTGTTAATCCCATTTTGGGGATGTATGAATTTAAGTTTTTTGCAACCATGTATCGGAACTGTGATCTTTGGCAGGTCTCTTTTAGAAAAACAATGAGTTCTTCACCTCCGTAAATGAAGGACATTGTATATATAGCTCAGTAAGGCTGAAAGTTCTTTGATTCCTTTCAAAACTGATTTATTATAGTTACTCAGTTATAAAATTAAATATTTGAATACAAATGTGTTGAAGTACCAGAGAAGTGGCTGGTAAGAAAATGTTTATTGAATGACATAATGAAAGTGCTAACTTCATATTAGTAACGGATGTTCCAGGCTATCTTTTATGGTTGGAAAATAGGACAATGATGTCCCATTGTTCTTTACAACAGCGCTTATAGAGCGTATTGTTCAGCAACACTGTAAAACCTGTAAACCCCATTGAAGTTGATATAAAGCAAATGCTTGTAGTCTTATTTTAATGTAGCTCCAGACTAACACCCCTTAAAAACTCACTTTAGAGATCTAAGATTTATAGTATGCTCATAAAGACAGAATTGACACCATATGAATATAAAAAGCTTTGCATACGGTACAGGAAGATGTTAGAAAATGTAAAAACAGTTTAAGAACCCCCCATAAATACAGAATTTTATTGTGTTTTAGTTCTTTATTTTGTCCAATCATTTATAGCTAAATGAGTTAAAGAAGTGACTTGAGGTGGAAAAAATTGAGGTTTCAGCCACCAGCAATTGTTGTTCAGTCTGTTGTTAAGTGACTCTTCTTCAACTATTTGTTTAATTCTTTCTTCTCTCTCTTCCAGCCTGTCAGTGTGATTTAGGAGGTGCTGTGGGCATGGCATGTGATCAGACGTCTGGACAGTGTCAGTGTCGGAAGAATGTAATTGGCCGTACATGCAAAGAGTAAGCTATGGGGTTTCTTAAAAATAATCAGGAAATGCACATCTTCTTAACCATAAATGGCATTGGAAAACGATAATTACTGTTTAATTTTATTTAAGTGTTATGGTAACCACAGGCTTTAGTGAAGTCTTTGGGATTTAAGATTATTTGAACACATCTAAGAAACTATATATATATATTTTTATTCTTAGTTTTTTTTTTTTTTGCAAAGCTTTGACTAAGCCGTTCTAACAGATTGATGCATATCGATCAAAACCATTCCATCTCAGCTCTGATGATATATTTAGGGTTGTTGTCTACCTCTAAAATAGACTTCCACTCTGATACCATGTTTTGTAGCTTTAAACCGTTCCTTCCAGAATTGCCTTTTCTATCCTTTCACCCATCTTCCTTTTAACTTTGACTAACTTTGTCTGTTCCTGCTGTAAAAAAAAATTTTTCCCACAGCACGATGCTGCCTGACAGGGTTAGTTTTCCACCACACAGTGTTGCACAAAAAAAGCGATTTGATCTAAATTTTCCAGAGTGCATGCTTTGAGCTATTTTCTTTTTCTCTAACATTCCTTGTGCCAGACTGCTAATGGAACGGACAGTAACTTTCTTCCAGCAATAGAAAGCTTCTGTTTTATTCAGGTAATTTTCTCTAAAATTCTATTACAATAGAGGTGGATCTCTACAGCTCCAACAGAGTTGTAATGAGCCTTTTGGATGCTGAAAAAAAGGATCTGTAAATACAACTCTTAAATGGTTTAGGTCTTTTTTCTAGAGTCAGGTGATGGAATAAACAATGAAATGCTCAGTTTTAGATATTGTTTTGCCCTAATTTACTTTCAACATCTCCATGGTGTTATCATTGAGCCATTTCATGTCTTCATTGATTTTCATGAATACCTCGTTTATTCATGTTTTCAAAAAAACCTTGATGTCCACAATATCACTCTTATAATGCTAAAATTAACTTACACTACCTATTTACTGATTAGGTGATCACTATGGGCAATTGATTAGACTACATTATATGAAGAGGTATCATGCAAATGCATGTTTTACTTTCAAGATTTTAATTTGTAAAATAATTAGCCGATATAATATATTGGTTTTGGTCTATCAAAGGGGGGATTTTAAGAACCAGTCTGATGTGACCCCTGAGATGTACCAAATGGGGGACACCATATTCGAGGCAAGATAGACAGTAGGATAATTGAAAAGCTTTTATTTAAGACACAGAAAAGTTGAGTGGCAGCAGGTAGAGCATCTATTTGAGAAAACTCTGTAAAAGGAAACAAAGGTTAGTGACCACGTAAACGTAGAATATGATATAAACACGTGAGTCACTAACTGGTTTAACAGTTCAGGACGTGTCTTGAGAACGAGGTAGGATCCAGCCGACGGTCTGCCAACATGATGCGGGGGGTGCCGCCCAAAGTGTCTGAAATACTGTAGCCCCGGAGAATGGAGAACAAGCAATCGTCTGAAGCCAGGTCAGGCAAACAGATCAGAACAAGAACAGGCTGGCTCAGAGGTCCTGAAGTCCAAAGACAGTTCAGGCAAACAGTCCAGACAGGAACAGACAGGCTCAGTGGTTGAGGGGCAAAACAAGTCAGAATAAGGTCATTAGAAACACTCAGGTACGCTAAAAACCCTTTTACCACTGAGATTGCTCGGGAATAGGTAGGCTCAGTGGTTGAGAGGGAGAACAGGTTAGAAGCAAGAAATCAGAAACACTAAGGTACACTAAAAAACTTCTCATGAATGGCATGTGAGAACAAGAATAATCTGATCTTGAAAACTGGATGCAAGCACCCTAAATAGAGGCAGAAGCAGGTGGATCAGATCAGAGGTAATGAGAAACTGGGCAGAGTTAGGTAAATGGAGTTAGTAATTAAGTCAGTCATTACCACAAAGATCATGACACCAAAGGCAAGAAAGACAAAATAAAATAATAAATGTTTCATGAAATAAATATTTGAATGTCTAATTGAACTTTATTTATCTCACATTGGAGACATTTCCTCTCTGCATTTAACCCATCCCCTTGGGGAGCAGTGGGCTGCCATTGTGCAGTGCCTGGGGAGTAGTTTGTGGGTTAAGGGTCTTGCTCATTAACCCAGATGCAGGCTGTGGGGATTGAACTGGGTACCTGCAACCTTCTCAGAGCACAAGCGCACTGCTCTAACCCACTTCCCCCATATTTTCAATAATTAATGAAATCAATGAAAATACCATTTAATTATGAAATGTGTAAAATATACTTGCTTTGAAAAACAATGTGAATGCAACTATTCTCTCTCTAGGCCTGCCCCAGGTTACTTCTTCCCATCTTTACATCAGCTGAAGTTTGAGGTAGAGGATGGCACAACACCAAACGCTCGACCAGTCCGCTTTGGTTTTAACCCCCAAGAGTTCCCAGGATTCAGCTGGAGAGGTTATGCTATAATGACACCTGCACAGGTTTGCCTATTCTCATTGGTGCTTTGGATGCAGTGAATAAATGTGAGACCTACAGTAGACCTTAGTGGTTTTCAGCCTTGCAATAAATCTTCTGCTTTTTGCCTCTGCACAAATAATCACAGACTGTCCTGTTTTTTTCACTGCTGATGTGGGAATAGAAACACCATCTCTTAGCACTAACACTCTCTGTCCTCAGCCGGAGGTGATTCTAATGCTTAGCCTTGGCTTTCCTGGACCCTTCCACATTATATTACGCTACTCCTTTCTACAAAAAAAGGAGAGAGTCCGAGTGAAAGCCCGGATCTTGGTGGTGGATGAAGCTGACTCTGAGGCTTGCTGTGATTGTAAGTGAAGGGAGCTTGCCTTGCTGCCTTTGCCTCACTCACTCTCTTTTGATTAACCCGTTCCATTCTTTTAATCTTCCCCGCCATGCTTTCATTTGTCTCTCTAATACCACTTACCTATTGTTTACTCAAACCTATGTCACCGGAATCAGTGTGTGACTGTCGTCCCTGCAGAGTGAAGCCAGGGTAACAGTGCATGTTGATCCCAAAGAGGGGCGACAGACTTTTTTCCACGTGGTTCTGCGGTTTATTAACCCCAACATCGTCAGTGTGACTGGTAGCATCAGAGCCACAAATAGCAGAGGCACTGCAGGTAAGACTGCCTCTGACACAGCATCATTTGCCCCGTTCCATCATCAAACTGTGAAAAACCTAACCCATCATTTATTACATGAAAACGTTCTTGACAGTTATGGGAGAAAATGGTTGATGAACTGTCTTCGCATAGATGTGACCTTAGTAGAGGTTCATGAGTTGTGTGCTTGATGCTCTGCAGGGGAAGGTCAAAGTAAGGAAGTGATATTTCCTCCAACTTCATCCCCCGCCTTTGTCACCGTCCCAGGAGAGGGCTTCACTGAGCCCTTTGAATTAAATCCTGGAAAGTGGATCATTCATATAAGGGCTGAGGGAATCCTCTTGGTAAGTTTCTGTGTAAGATTTTACCTGAAAAGAACAACAAACAAACAAAAGACACACCATAATTTGCCTTATACAAATAAGTATAGTCTGAATATTTAGTGTTTTGTTTGGTTTCACATTACACATATTTGTTTTTTGTGGGTGGCTTTATGTGAAATAAGTGAACATTTGTGAAGTAGAAGAAATAAATAGTTTTAACATTTTTATTATAAAAACAGGAACTGAACAATGAGTCATGTATTTATGCTGATGAAGGTTCTCAGTCATCCAGGTCATAGTCATTCCGTAAAAATTCAAAAAAATTCAAAAAATATCCACTGGACTTGAAAACCAAGTCCAGTGGATATTTTTAGAATTTTTTTGAATTTTTACGGAATGTCATGTATTTATGTGTTTAGCACCTTTTTACTGCAATATCCCAATAGTGCACTTCTACCATGAAGTATTAGTTCTGCACTTCAAAAGTTTGGTCTTTATGGAAAAGATGGAAGAAGAAAACATGACAATAAGTCCTGCAGCTAATTTGTTTTAAGCCTTGTAAGAGACTCAGCACTACATGTCGCCAATTTGGATAGCATGATGCTGGGATTATACTTTACATTAAAAGAATAAACAAGCTCCCTAAACATAAATCCAAAGCTAAGATCAACCTAATCAAAATTCAGAACTACATCTTTGGCAAGTCACCTGAAAGAGTTGGAGGCATTTTTTGAAGAGTCATGGTAAAACAAACATCAGCCTTTAGATGTGCAAAGCAGTTAGAGACATTCTGTACCCCAAAGTATTTGCAGCTGTAATTTGTAGGAGATCGTATAAGACATTGTCTCATGGGAAGTAAGAAATATATGCCACTCTACAGATTTTTATCTGATATAAAAAAAACCTTTCCAAAACCAAGTCTCTTTTTTTGTTACTTCAGAATGATGTACTGTTTTTGATCATTTATTGCAAAAAAAATCTATGGAATTCATTTGAGATTGTATTACTAATCTGTGAAAATTAAATATTTTTACCTTCGCACTTCAGGATTATTTAGTGCTGGTGCCTCAAGATTACTACGAGGCCTTTCTGCTGCAGGAAGAGGTCACTCAGCCGTGCACATACTTACACACTGCAAACAGGGAGGAAAAGTAAAGCTCTGCTTTTTACCGTCATTTTTCTCACATTTTTGTTGTTAACAAAATAAGGTAATCTCACTTCTCTTTTCTTAAGATGCCTGCTGTACAAGCACATCAACATGGATGGTTTCAGCTCTGTGCTCGCCACTCAGGGCAGATTGTCCCCCCGGAATGGGCGGAGGAAGAGGAGGTTGGCTCGTATGCGGCGTCTTACTCCAGATCACCCAGACATGGCAACTGTCAATGGGAGACAGGTTCAGTGTTCAGAATTATCGATAAACAAAGTAGTAGATAACAATGAGACACATCTCTAAAGTTCTTATAACACAAATCTAAAGTGTGTAAAAGGTATTTGGAGGATTAGGTCCTATATTATCTGTAAATAATGTGCATGTTCTGTGTCTTATAGTCTCGCCTGGAGCTCAGCATTCGTGTCCCTCATGCGGGCCTTTATGCCCTCATTCTGGAGTATACCAGTGAGATGGAAACTATCCAGAATGTCAACATACTCCTAAGCAGTCAGTCAGGGAGTCAGATCTTGGCTAGAGCAAATATTTACACATGTGTTTTCAGGTTAGTCATTTTAATATTTAACTGATTTAGAGTTACTGTTTCTGACAATAAAGTGCCTTGCAAATTTATCTGCACTCCATGCATAGATCTTTTTTGTGTCCTTTGATCATATAACAACAGAAACTTTCAATGTATCTCATTGGGATTTTATCTGATATACCACATCAAAGTTGTGGCAACACTCTGGAACATTTCAATTGCTTTTGCCATCCAAAGCTTATAAACATATAGAGGCTTGCTGTACAATTAAATTTAGTTTCTTTCACAAAATTATATCCGTTGTTACTAAATGATTCCAGAAATAATTTAATTACCAAATTACTCATTCTGTTTGTAATCAAATGCAGCTGATTTGTAAACGCCTCAGGTTCGTTAGAGAACATAAATAAAACCACAAAGCCCAAGGAGAGCAGCAGGCAGGTAAGGAACAAGGGAATCAGTATGCTACAAACTCAAGTTTGCTTTTTGCTGTTCGCCACGTGCTACATAATAAACAAAGGAAGCAGTTTAAAGAAAAACATTACATAGGACCCAAACGCTGCATGTGAAACAACATCTGTAGCGGAATAGTTACAACAAGCTTGAGCTTACCAGCTGTCAGGTTAAAGCACGGCGGTAGTAGTATTATGCATTTGGATTGCTTTTCTTCATTAGGAGAAGTGTAAACCATTAGTCAAGGTATTATGCATAGAAGTAAATTAAAACCTAGTCTAGAAATAAATATCTGTTGGAGGCGACACTGTTGTGTATTGTATTGTATATGTGGAAAAAATAATTGAGAATTTTGAATAATTTTCCTTCAACTTTAATGCTTAACATTTTAAAACAATGTAAGAGTTAAATACTAACATCGAATTGTTTGCTAACTCATGCAGTTTTTTGTGCCGGAGTGTGGCGGTGGACAGCAGAAATCAAGTGGCCATGCTGCAGCTCTCTCACAGGACGGAGATTGTTCTACATACTTCCACATCTTCATTCCTTTTGGTGAGGACAGTGCTTCCAGCAACATGTAGAACATCTACCTTTCCACTTGTTTTTTAAAGTAGTGGGGTCATTCAAATATTTCTGTTTAGTACAAGCTGTATACGGTGCCTGCAGAGGAGTTTTCCCTGGACTATGTGGAGCCCAAAGTGTTGTGTGTCTCTACTCATGGTCGTTTCACTCAAGACAGGTAAGCAATTTGGGTCATGCTGCTAAATCTTTTTTATTTGCATCAGTAGTTGCACCTTGAACCCATTCCCTAAACCTGACCATAAAACCTACAATGAGAATTTATTCTCATTAGATCATTTATGCACGCTTCTTAAAAAACTTATTTCAACATCCACAAATGTAAGTTGTCATTTGCACTACATTGCTTGCTAGATTAGTCTCGACAGCAGGGGGCCACATCTGGTCTCCAGCTGTGAATACAAGCATTTCTCCACGTTCCTTACCTGAAGATGAACTTTGGAACATCTGTCATCATAACTCTGCAAGTCTAAAACTAACAAGCATGGATGTCAGAGACCTATCGGCTGCTGGTGTGTAGTTTGTGGTGTTCTGGAAAACCTGACATAAATATACATAATAAAAACCTATAAAATAATAAAATGATGACATTTACCTGAAAGCAAGCACAGCCATTTTAATTAATTATCTCTTGCTTTTAATTTTTTCTATGATTCAGATTAGCTTACCTCTTACCAATGCTTTCTATTTGGGTTTTAAGTGAAAGGCTCACACAAAGTAATAGATATTTGTAAAGTAAAATGCAAATTATTTCAGTTTTTGTTTTTTTTGTTTTCTACTAATTGGAAAAAAAACAACAATGTATTGAACTGTCCTGAGTTAAATCACTTCCAGTTACAGCTGCTGGGAATTTAAACTTCTTTCTCTCAGAGTTGCATTTCTAAAACTTGGCATTTTTTTCCCTATTCTTTTCATCGTAGCTGTGCCTTTTTTTTGTCTATGAAGTTACCATTAATTCAAGTCTCCTTTGCAGCCCCTGACACATTTTCTTTCAGTTGACCTTTCCACTTGTCAGGATTTGTAACTTGAAAATATTCCCCCACAATATCATGCTGCCACTTTTTTTTCGGCGTAGGGACGGTGCGGTAACTATTTGTTCAGTATCAGTTTTCTGCCAACTGCCATGCAGATCATTTGTCATGTTGTGTTTGTGTCTCCCCTTTTTTGATTTATACAAATTCTGCCACATATTACTTTCAGCAATGACCTTTTGCAAATCAAGGCAGATTTTTTAAGTCAACAAATAAATGCACTTTTGTAGTAGATCTCTGCAGTTCCTCCAGTTGGCCACTTAGCTTAGCAACTTTCCAGCAGTGCCATGCTTTTCTCAAAAGATGATGTATTAAAAAGTTATCTATGAAATTTTCATTTGTTAAACACTACTTAAACAGATTAATGCTTTACTTTAAATCCAGACTTCTGCACCTCTCTATGCTGCTCCATCATATAAAACCCCAGTAAAATGCATTGCTATATTTAATACAAGAAACACTGAACATTATTGTTCGGCTCAAAGGAATTCCCCTTAACGTCAATTTGTATCTATTTAATGTTCACAGTCGGCACTGTCTTCTGCGGAGGTTTGAAAAGCCATCCTCAGCCTCGATTCTGTACCCTGCCCGTGATGGACAGCTGTCATCCACACTTGCAGCTGCTTCCCAGCGGGGCAACCATCTGGATTGGAGACAGAGAAGACAGTCCAGTTTGTTCTCTGTCCATGAGCCTCAGAGTGATGGGACAGTGCTGAAATTCCCTCAGGTGCTCACCTCAAATACTTTAATCTGCCTTTCCTCATCTTGCTCAACAACATAATTTTCTCTAGATGGTGCTAAAAAATTTGAAAAAAAAAAGGACTTCAGTTATAAATGCTGTGTTTCCCCCTCTAGACTGAAATAAGTTTTACTCCAGAGGTGCCTCTCCCAGGTCGATATGTTGTTGTGGTCCATTATCATCAACCTGAACACATCTCTTTCCCAGTGGAAGTGCATGTAAATGCAGGGCAGGTTTGGAAGGGTGAGTGTTTGGGAGACAGTTGGAGACTTAACTCTGGCAGGGAGCTGCAAATTCCTTCATAAGATCAGATAACATACCTGGCCTCCTGACAAGAACCTCCGAGGCTTTAGAGATGTTTCCTTCTGTAGCTTAAATAGATGAATAGGTTTTTAAGCAGCATATTGTCTAACTGAGAAACTGCTTTCCCCTCTAGGTGAGATAAATGCTACATTCTGCCCGGCAGTGTCAGGTTGCAGGGAGGTTGTTGTTGCCGACGGCCGCATCGCTCTTGACTTCTACAGGACTTCTCTGCAGCTACCCACCATCTCTGTAACCGTGCCACATGGGAAGACTCTTACTTTGGTCAGTGTGTTATTGATTATTCTTTTCTGTAGCTAAAGCAATCATTAAGTAACATTAGTTTAAAATTCTTAGAAAGTCTCAAGGTTGTATTTTCATAGTGTGAGATTGTTTAGTTAGATGATTTGGTATGCAGTGGTCTTCAGTCTTCTCCCCTGTGTTATGCCATATCTCCAGCGACAACAATGAAGGGACTGTTTCTACCTGGCAGCCCCACAAAGCTTTATGTAAAAGCTAAACCCAAAGGCTTTTTAAGACTTGGGACAGGTTGAGCTTTGTTTGCCTTCTCAGAATGTTGTACTTTTTGTCTCTCCTAAATCTTAGAAAATAGTTTGATTAAGTGCCCTATTCCAAGGTCGCCTGTATAAAATGTTAATTATTATTATTTTCTTAGGATTATATTTTGCTGGTTCCTGATAGCCAATACACTCCAGAGCTCCTGCGAGAGAGGCCACTTGATAAGTCTGCAGATTTCATAAAACAATGCACCAGAGAAGGCTTCTATATAGAGTAAGTGTCATCAACCATATATTCTTTCTCACTGCATGATGAATAAATCAGACATTCTTTCCTGTTTTATGTTATTTATAATACCAAAATATTTTTTTCACTTCCTTAATGATGATGAATAAAAAAAGATTTTTAATGAGTTTTCATAGTATTGATCAAACATTTTGGGAATCCTTTTATGATATGTTTTGCTAAAATTTTGGTTGATTCCCGTTGATGGAACTGGTACAATACACTGAGAGCCTGATCATTAAAAGGTCACTTTGGCTAGGTTAACACCACAGCCTGAAGTGACACAAATTTGATTTTTTTTTGCCCACATGTGACTTGGATCAGATCTTTTCATAGCAGTCAGAACAACACAGATCCCATTTTTTTCCAATCCACCCATGCCACTTGGCTATGTGGTCCTGAATCCGATACGAATCTGATCTTTTTAAATGCGACCTATGTCTGAACAGCCAGGTCGCATTCATCCGACCTGAACGGCGTTAGTAACCAACATGGGTCACTATTCTGCGTCTTGCTCCACAGAAGCGGCAAGAAAAACAAACACCATTGCGGACGATGATGCGGAGAGCAGTAATTTTTTTAACCATCTTGAAAAGATTGAGGTTTTGAGGTTTGAAAAGATCGCTAGATGCGCTCCAGCACTACATCCTTGTTTACTTTCGTAAACACGAAGCAAGCTGGCTTGTGACGTAATTGCGTCCTACTGCACACTAATACTGACACATAAGCTGTATGAATGCAGTTTACACAGGAGATCACATACAAGTCACATATATTTGAAAACGTGGGCGGCAATGCAAAAAAATCAGATTTCACAAAAAAATGAAAATTTAACATCAAGGCCTGCAGTGTGAACGTAGACTTTGAATTAAAACACATGCAAAAATCTTAGCAGAGCAGCTTGTGCAAACCTTCTTTTATGTGTGTCTGCCTTCATGTCTACGACTATCATGATCTTATCGCCAAATAATGCCAATCAATTGTTAGAGTATATGCAAATACTTCCCACTTATAGAGTGATTTATCAAACCTGAAACTGATTGTGGCCGCAGTTTTTGCATCAAAATTTAGTTAATTTCAAAGTCAGATGCAAACTCTGAACCAAACATTTCTGGGTTCAGTGTGGCCACAAAGGAAGCACTTATACAATGACAGATAATCGAGAGAGAGCATATGTGCATTTAAATATAATTTGACTGCCAGAAATAACAATAGTAGAATGATACATGTCTTTGCAGGTAGAGGAAAGCAAATCTATATACAGTTAAACCAAGACAACTTAACTGAATTTAAATATTACTATGAAAGATTGGAACAACCTAAATGTGCTTACGGGCTCTGACCGTATTTTTTGGTCGAGCAGGTGTTGTGACAAGTTGATGAAGGTAAATCCAGCAAATCCAGCTGATCAGAGAGTAATCCATCTATATTTAACTGTTTTAAATGTTTTATTTTTTTGTTTGTTGAACTTCAAGTTTCTTATGTAAAGTGTGATATAAATAATATTTAGTATAATCAAAACATTGAGTATCATCACTGTTATTGTTTTATATATGGCAACTACATCATCTTTCTTGTAGGCCACCCTTAAACTACCTGAAGTTTACTCAATTTTCTAATTTTAATGGGATGAATTGAACCTGTTTGCATGTCATATCCTTTTTACACACAATCATTATAGATCACTAGCAACATACCCACTTATTGCATGTGCAATATTTTTATTGCCCTTGCAGCAGAACTAAAATTTGTCTCCATTTACGTGATGCCTCTTCCCAGCATTAACTTTGTAGTGCTTTAACCCCTTTCTAACTGATTAAGTGGTATGCCTTTGGTCACCTTTTGGCAGGACTAGTTATTGTTTAAGCTTTACCTTGATGCCATTAATTTAAATTTTATTGGACAAAGAAATTTGTACAAAAACAAATGTTGCTAATTCCTATCATAAGACAGAAAATTCTTAATATCAGTGAGCAAAAGCTATATATCTATTTATATAATGTATGTATATAATATGCAATTACCTTCCACTGCACTTTAATTTAGATAGCTTCTGTCCAAACTTTATTTATTAACTTTATAGTAAAAGCTATCTGTATATTATGCTCATAATTCTGCCTATAGTAATAGCCATCTGTACAATATTCATAGTACATATTCACCTGAAAACTCGGTTATAATAACAATCATCGGTATATTATGCTATTGAACATAACTTTGAAAACCCTATTATAGTAATATCCACCTGTATATTATATTTGTTAGATATTCAGCTGTAAATTTTGTTCATAACACTAGTCATCTATATATTATATTCATAGGACAAATCTATTAGTAAAATTCTGTTTATAATGGTATTCATCTCTATATTTATTCAGTAGAAACCCATGTCCTGTAGTCATGGAACCATTATTTATCCTGCACTTGCTGCTAATGCACTTCTGGTTAGACCTAAACTGCATTCCGTTGCCTTGTACCTTTACCTGTGTAATCACAATAAAGTTGACTCTAATCTAATTTAATTGAAATATCTTTAAACTGAATGTAGTCCACTAATTACAACATTTTGTTATCCTGGTTTTGAATATTATCATGTGATCTAGTTGCTCTAGAAAAAAACTTTAACGCTGCAAATATTTTTTAGAAACTGGGCCCCCTAGCTGCTGTTTTTGAGTATTATTCTGTGTTTGAAAGAGTTGTTTTATTTATCTGTGTATTTCTGCAGACCCACCACATCATCCCAGTTTTGCAGAGACTCAGCCCGCACTCTTGCAGCAGCTTACAATGATGGAGCCCTGCCTTGTGGCTGTGATAAGTCTGGCTCTACAGGGAGTGTGTGTGATCCAGTTGGAGGACAGTGTCCTTGCAGGGAGCACATTATAGGGCGGCAGTGCAACAAATGTGCCACAGGATACTACGGATTTCCCTACTGCAAACGTGAATTTTTCATTTACTTTTCGGTTACCATATAAATGAAGCAAATACGCACATGCAACTTAAAACTTCTGGAAATTTCCTCTATTCCTTTTTCAGCATGTGAGTGTGGACGCCGCCTGTGTGACGAAGTGACTGGACGCTGCATCTGTCCTCCTCAGACAGTGAAACCAAGCTGTGATGTGTGTCAGCAACAAACTTTCAGCTACCACCCTTTGCTGGGCTGTGAGAACTGTGGGTGCTCTCCAAGCGGGGTGAACGTAAACGCTGGACTTCAGTGTGACATTGTCTCTGGGCAGTGCAGGTAATTATTGTATGATTTTTTTTACATCCATAAATCCCAGATGAAATATAAATAGATAACCTGTCTGTCCATCCATCCATCTTCTACTGCTAATGCTTCAGGGTCACCAGGGATGGTTCCTGGTCACCTGTCCATCAAAGGGTGGAGACATAGAACCATGAATACACACATTAATACACAAATTTTTTTGGACTGTGGAAGAAAACCAAAGTACCCAGAGAGAACCCACACATTGTGCATTGTGCATAGTACATAAATACTCAAGGCTAGGAAACAATCCCAGGACCTTGTTGCTACAAGGCAACAATCCCTGAAGGGCAGCCACAAACAAATAATGCTAGGTAGAAATTTTGAAATAAAACATCGACCCTTTATCTTTTCTTTGAAGAGGAACAAGTCTTTCTTGGTAGGAGCATCCCTTTTTTGTTCCTTTTTGGATTGACACCCCTCCACCAGTGAAAGGAATGCCCTCTCTTACAAAGGCTGAAAGCTGCATTTACTTAAAATGTCAGTCACCTTTCTAACTCTTAACCCATGAATTAACATCTAGATGTGCGGGACACTGCAACAACAATAAAAACTAGATTTTTTTCATTTTAATTGGAATCTCATGATTTTATCGTTGTAATTTCTTCTGCTTGTTTTCCAGCTGCAAACCTCGAATCTCAGGCCGGCAGTGTGACCGCTGTGCTCCGGGTTATTATCGCTTTCCTGACTGTCTTCCCTGCAACTGCAACCCAGGAGGAGTCACAGCTGATGTATGCCACCCTGATACAGGCAGGTGTCTTTGCAAGGTGAGTTGATAGTATGATCTCTTATTCAACTTCTTTGTACTGTCTCCTGCTATATAAAAGCTTTGGTTTTTGCAGAAAAACGTCGTAGGTATCAGGTGTAATACTTGTCGGGAAGGTTCCTTCTACTTTGACCCATCAAACCTCCTTGGCTGCTCCAGCTGCTTCTGTTTTGGAGCCACTGACCAGTGTGAGAGCTCTGATAAACGGCGTGGAAAGGTAGGATGACCTTTAGATGCTGCATGTCATACTGTTATAAAAACATCCCGTTCAGAGATTCTTTTAGGTGTATGATGTAAACATTAATAGCTGTTTGATTAGAGCTAATCATGTTGTAGAAAATTAAAGATTATCATGGTTTGTTGTCTTATTTTCAAAGAAGCATTCTTCTCTAACATCCTAGTGCAGTATTTCTTTTGGAGACATAAAAATGGCTGGAGGTTTTTTCCTAACATTAGTTTTCATTAGTTTGTTGACATGCAAGGCTGGCGATTGGAAAGCCCTGACGGGGAGGAGGTTCCTTCAGTGCTGAATGCAGTCAGTAACACAGCAGTGGCAGACATTCAGGAGCTTCCTCCTACGGTTCAGACTCTACACTGGGTGGCGCCAAAGTCCTACCTGGGAGACAGAGTGAGTCAACTCCTCCTAAAACATGCTGCATTTTGCTATAGGCATTGTTGTTTTAACACATAAGGAGAAATTTGTTGGCCTTTTATTTTGACACACGTTGTACTTACTGTAGTAAAATGCAGAAATCAGATCCAACTCAACATCGGCATGTGTGATAAAGCGCAGGGATTTCACATTAGTTATTCCTTTGCTACCAAGTGCACAAGTCCATCCACAGTCATTCTACTACAAACTACCTTCCACAGTCATCTGCACCTTGATAAATCTTTTTCATAACTATTAGACACACCTTTCAGATTTTCTTTGCAGTGTTCAATATCCCACCCAAATGTATCATAACAGTATCTTTCTTTTAATTAAGTTTATTCAAATCAAAATATTTATTCCCAAAATTATCTTTAACAGAGTGTTTATCCCTAATTAATATTCTCAGGTTAATATCTGTAGCATTTATATTAGTTTAAAACCTATTAAGGACTATAATAACACCTATGTTAAATTAGGTAAACAGCTGTTAGCACTGAAATGATGATTATATGACCAAGTCATAGATCCCTAACTGTATGATAAAAAAAAGGAAAGTGAGAATGAGATTAAAAAAGAAATCTTTAGTTTAATAAAGTATTTGCTATTCATTTGGTAAATAAAAGATAACACTGGATCTAGTTACTCATTGCTTCATTAATTAATCTACTACAAATACAGTCATGAATTTAATTTATTTTTCAAGGAAATTAGAAAAAAAAATGAAGGAACAAGCAGAAACCATATTGCTGAGGCTTTTGGAAGTATTTTTTAACAGTTTAAATGTTTACTTTATCAAAGTGATCTGCAATGTTTTTCATGACTGTTCCATTTTTAAAGATTTCTTTGAGTGAACTCCCAAGTCAGCCATCTTCTTTTATCAGATATGAATGCTTCCCTCAGCCAAAATCTGAACCCTAGGACTGTGTTTATGCCCCACACTCATGTCTCTGATGCAGCAGACAGGGAATTTCTCAACACACAGCTGTCTGGCAGATGAGGTCACACAACTGATGTGCTCTTTTACAAAGTCATATCTTTGTCTCCAGCACTGCAAATTCATTTAAGGGAAATAGATGCTAATCTTCTTAAGCCCACTAGCCACCCCATCAGCAAAATAAAAAAAATAAAAAAACAGGAAAAAAAACACATTTTCTCCATGTTAGATCGGCCATCAGCAGCTGATTAATCAGGAGGCTTGATGCAGAGATAAAAGCAGAGAGAAAACCCTATTGAGCAGCAGATCCCATACTGTAGATCTAAGCAGCATCTCAGGATGATCTGAATAGGTTGCCTTTATACTTAATACTTTTAACCCCCATTTAGCTAGTCCACCATAAAACTGGATAAACAAAACTCATATACACACACTAGCAAACATCTAGAAAATGGCTGAAACATCTAAATACTTCATGCAAGCATTATTCACTATGAGACTTAAAGACATTTCCATTTCTGGACTGAAATCTATATATACTTTATACTTTATGGTTTTTGCACCCATCACAATTTAGAAATGGTCTTTTTATGAAACTTTAAAAATATTCAGGTCCCCAGGGCTTGATTTAGCCTCAGGTGAGTCACCTTAACAACAACTGCAACAATAGGCGTAAGACACCAATTTTCTCTCAGTCCATTCAAAGATTAGCCGAAGTTCCATTTGTGCTATACTCTATGTTTGTGTGGTTCACTGAAAAAAAATAATGCAACCGCTTTTGGCATTTACTTAATCATATTTAGTTATTTCAACACAATTGTTCTATTTTCTACCCTGCTAACATGAAACAATTGTGCTATAGTATGTAAATATGATTAAGTAAATGCTAAAAACGGTTACATTATCTTTTTTAGTGTTCACAGGATGGGCCTTAATCAGTACTGACTGACAAGAAGCTAACAAAGAACCAAAAACTAACAAATTAAAACATATCAATGTATTTCTCAGTGTAATTTCATCCAAAATATTTCAAATAAAATGAAAACTGTATGTTAATATATGTAATGAAGCCTCACATTACACTCGACCTGCACAACGATACAGTCAGTTAAGTGTAACTGAGACAAAATTGGCTAAAGCAAGAATCGTGGTTTTTCCATTTTCAATCTCAAAAGCTTACTGTTGGAGAGCTGTAGCAAAGAGTCGCAATAACGCCTCCATAATAACAACTATTTATTATTTGGCTTCTGCACAAATCTTTAATAACAGTGGAAGGTGGAGTATAGATAATTAGAAATGCTCAAAGGCGTATTCATTTAATCAAACAAAAAAAAAAAAATGTATCTAAAACATTTTATTGCCTATGATGTTAAAGGGATAAATAAGCCTTATAATAAAATTATTGAGGGATAGATTCGGTAGTTTTTCCACCTTAAATCTAACTGGAACTCTTCAACTTAACATGCTTATATTATTTTGCTATTAATGCTGACTCTTCCTAACTGATTTTTAGGTTTCATCCTATGGTGGCTTCCTCACCTACCAGTCCAAATCATTTGGGATCCCGAGTGAAGGCATGACACTCATTGACAGACAAGCAGACGTTGTGCTGACTGTATGTTGAGGACCTAGTATTTTTTGTAGCTTTACTGAACTACCCTTTGCTGTCATGCATAAAAAGCAAAATATTATTTTATGCCCTTTAGGGTCAGCACATGAGCCTGATCCACGTGACTTCACAGCTTCCCCTTCCAGACAAGCTGCACCAGGGAAGAGTCCAACTCTTGGAGGTAAAATAAGTGCTAAGTATAAGAGGTATTTGGAATGGGTTTCTAGTACAATTTGATGTTTAAACACTCTGAGGTGATTTAGATGGAGCCTTTAGTGCAGTATTTCAGGGATGAAATTAATACAAAAGGTGGTGAAAATCAAATAAAAGGTAGATAATATGGTAACTGAACTGATACAGACTTTTTTTTACAAAGCAGGAGAGATTTTTCTTGCTTTCGTTTATCATCCTCGAAGTATGAATGCATTATTTGGAGTGCTTGGTTTTTGAGGATTACTCTGATTGTTTCCAGGGAAACTGGCGTCACGCTAGCACCAACCGGCCTGTGTCCAGACAAGAGCTCATGGTGGTCTTAGCAGGTCTGGTGGGCTTGAGGATCCGAGCCCTGTACTTTACTCAGAGCCAACGACTCAGCTTGGGGGAGGTGGGTCTAGAAGAGGCCACTGACTCAGGGACCGGAGGTCCAGCAAATACTGTGGAAGTCTGCTCCTGCCCCCCTGAGTACTCTGGAGATTCCTGTCAGGTGAGAAGTTAGGCTCAGTCAGCGGCTGGTTTCTAGTAGAAACTTAATAATCATACAGTTGTGTGTCATTTGAAAGTTCAGCAGTCATTGCTGTTTGTATCTTTTATTATTTCTTTGGGAGATGCCTTCCTTAACTGCATTCGAAAAAATTACTTTGGGGCTGGACAAAAAACAAACAAACAAACAAACAAACAAACAAACAAAAAAATCATTATACTGCCAGATATATATATATATATATATATATATATATATATATATATATATATATATATATATATATGTATGTATATATATATATATATACCATATGGGTCCATTACACAGACTTATGCTCTGACACTGTTCATATAATGTATTTATTTTGCAACTATGGTTTCAAAATGATCCTTAAACAATCTTTCTTAAAGTCATTGTTTTGCAGCTTGATTGCTTAATTAATTGTCTCTTTGGTCAAACACAATAAGACCCAGTATTGATTAGATCCATTCATAGTTTTAGTGTTGACTATTGCAACAGCAAAAAAAAAAAAAAAAAGCCTTGAAAATGAACAAACATAACTGAAATCTATCAGCACCTATTTTAAATAATAATAAATAACAATTTTCGCCTCTGTTTTGATCCATAAGTAATGGTTATCCTTTACAATGAATGCAGTCTTACTGTGTTGGAGAGGTTAAAACTGGCATGGAACAGTACTTTCAGGGTGCACTAACATTAAAATTTTTACACAATGTTCCTCATAAGTCAAGTTAAAAATTTGTGGGGCTGGGAAGGGTGGAGAAGCGGGTGGGGCTGAAACGGCATCTTGTCTTTTAAAGGTATTGGATCTCATCCTCACAGTATTTGGGGTGTTCTAACATGTCTGCACAAAATATCACACCCTTTACCTTGAGGAAAAACTTATTAGCAGAGGAATTTGTTGGAAAATACCCATCAGGAGAACTGTGCAGTAACTGTGTAGCCCCTGGCAATGATAATGTAGTACAATCATGCAGGCGTAATATTGGGGATTCTACTAATATGATCACCAGCATACATAAGCATAATCACCAGCATACACGAGGTACTCACGGTACCTGAGAATAAGGAGCTGCTATGGACAAAAGGCTTATTTTGTTTTTATTTTGATATCAGACATTAATCTAGCTTTTTTCCAGCTTTTCAAAAAGCCGTTTAGAAATAGTTAGCTTTCATAACATGTACTCTGTTTTGAACACAAAACCAAATTAAAGAAGGAATTCAAGCAACAACTAATGAAAGAGAAGCTTCTCCTGTAGAGTTATTGGAAACATTATTATAAGGGAACAAAAACATGTTCAGCTTTTCATCTTGAAAGCTGTTTTTCATAAATCCACTGGTTGGTGTGGGTGTGTGTGAACCCTGTAAGATCAGGCATGTTTAGAGGAAGTCGATTATATGTGGCCAGAGGTGCAATGACACGGCGCCTTGCCTTGATATGCAGGGCGTGTCTCTTGGCAACATAACGTTACTCATAAACCTGAATGTGCTCACCTGAATGTTCCTCCAATATGAGCATTTGTCTACGTCCAACTGACACACCCAGTTGTGTCTGTTCGATGTGTGTGTGTGTGTGTGTTCAGAATGATTCACGAGTGAGTGTCTGGATTGTTGTCTGAGGACGTCTGACTTCACCTTCAGTCATATATTTTCTTCTTAATGTTAAATGGAATATTTTATTTTAAGAAACTATGTTAAGCTAAAGCAATTGTTCTACTGTTTTAAAATATTCTAAGCATAAAGTTGGCAACATTAGTAAAAATAAGTCAAAATATTCATGATAATGTTGTTTATGTAGCTGTGATTGCAGAAAGAAATAAAGCTGTTCTTTTGCCTTCCTAACTAATTATCTCAGCAGTACACACTTAGTACAACGCAGTCTCATAAAGAGACAGCGTCGCAGAGAAATATGCACTTTGCTTGGTATCTAAGCATATGCCTTTGCTAATATCATTGGTTTTCAAGCTTGATATCTTTACTAAATCAAAGTCAAATTTCAGAGGTAACAAACACAGCTGTCAATTACATAAAGGGCCCATTGGATTGGAAACGAGCTGGAAAATTGGCCTTACTGACTGTGGGTTACAGGCAATATAGCCCTATTTTTTGCTTTCATAGGTTTGATGCAGTTCAGTTTTGGATAAAAAGAGGGACTCTGGAAGTGTTGCACAAATTGATTTAATTTTTTTAGTAATAAATTGACATTCAGCATAAAACTATGTAAAGTACCCAACTGTGTTGTGTCTTATCAGCTGTCATTCAGCCTGTGTATATCCCACATGGGACCCAAATATACATAGAATATTTGTTACTTCTGCCTATCACATCACAGTACCTGTGTTTTTGTTTTTGCTACTGTCACTAAAGGTAACTGGACTAAGACAACTGGTGGACATATGATTACAATGGAGCTAAAGACATTATTGCTAAAGTTTTTTTTCAGTTATAGCTGAAGCCAAAGAGCAGTCATAGTTTTTTTTTTTTTTATTGGCATAAGGTTCTATACAGACACTTGAACCCATTTTTCCTTTACAACTGTGTCTCCAACAAAGAATATGATGTTATTCTGTACGTGCATTTTTGAGTTGCAAGTAAAAGAGACAGAGCGAACATGTAAACACTTGCATGTGAGTGCTTGAATGCACTGGACAGACTCATGCTGATCTACCAAGCTGACTCAGGTAAATGGGGTGTGTCCTCATTGTGTCTCAGTGTGTGCTTGTTTAAGAGGCTGAGACGAGGGGGAACAGGCACTTATTTTGCACAGGACAAACTCTGGGAATGTCGAATGTCTGCATGGATAGGCGCTGGGGTAAAGGGATTCTGTCCTGGATCTTAATATATTGGACTTTTATTGGGCTTTGCTGCGCCAGGCACAGACCCTTCAGCAATGGAGAGCAACCCCACCACACCCGGCATCATGACAGTCTGCTTCAGAGAACTGAAGAACAGGCAGCTCAGCGGATAGAGTATCCATCCTTAAGAAACCAAGAACAGTTCATTCAGTTACCCTCAGTTTTTGATGCTGGTTCTCAGGTTCAGGTAAAAAAAAAAATCTGTGCTGCATTTTTCACTGAAAGATGTTATCTCACCTCAGCTCTGTGTTTTATCCTAAGACTGTCAGTGATTAAATGACTGTTATCGCTTCAAGCAAAGGGCACATTTTCTGTTAATATTTCATGACGCTAAATTCAGCATAAGCTCATTGACATAGGAAGCAAAAAGGCTTGAAAACTATGTTTATTTAATTCAAGATGAAACCCAGTTTTCATAGTTTGTCTATTGTTATTCCAAACAACCAAGGTTGGAAATCAGCAACTTGAATTTAAGTTTATAGGTATCCACTTTTTAGAATTCAGGCTTCAGTTTTGATCTGCCAGTATATTAATCATTTAATTTGCATGCAGTGCTACAGCAATTTACTGTGGTGGAGAGGTTAATAATAGAAATTAATAATATTTTTCGTGTATAATAATGTCTGTTCTTATTTTTTAATTTATTTAATTTTTTCAGAAATGTTTCCCTGGATTCTACAGAGAGGGCAACGGACTGTACTTGGACCGTTGTTTGCCCTGTCAGTGCAACGGATTGGCTGAAGAATGTGAAGATGTAACAGGGCGGTGCCTGGTAAGAGATCCTATACACTCTTAACTAAAGATAGACTAAGAACATGGTTCGTTATGGGATTGTGCCAATTTCAGCATAAGCGTTGCATGATTTGCTAAAAGTAGCAGCAAAATTAGAACTTTATCTGTTTTTATCTGATCCAGGTCTTCTCACTCTATGACTTATTTAACAGAGACACCAAGCCAAGAAATAGTCTGTTTCATCCTGAATCAGTATTTCAGCTTAGCTGGCCATGACAGGTGTTAGTTGGAAACTGGGAAATTAATATTTTACTATTAGTTTTTAGTGTAGAAGTTATTACTGGGCGTTCTTGTTGTTTCTTTGCTAGTCAGGGAAGGTAAAGAGAGGACAACACTGAAGCCATCGCTAATAGACTAAACATTTCCAAGTTGTCCTGTTTTGAATTTCAAGTTGTAGGACATGTCTGATTTTGAATTGTTGTCAGTCATTTCAAAAAGTCAGAGAGAACTCATTGACTGTACAATGCTATTTTACGGCTTGACAGAAAAGTAATGAAAACTAAATATGACAGGAAAGATTTAAAACAAGAAAAACAACAAACTTTATCAGCTGATATGTGTATTGGGAGAGCTAAGCTTTACAACATGATCCAAAATGTATGTTGCTTTAGTTTCGTCATAGTCAGGGACTCTTAATTTCAGTGCATACAGTATGGAAACATTATCTCCCAGTAACACTGTTTTTTCCTGTCCTCTTTTAAATTCCGTTTTGAATTTCCCAAACATTTCCCTCTATTGACGTCTCCTTTGCCATTATCTGACGAGATAGGATGGAGCCTTTGCGCTCTTCAGTCTTAGTTGAGTGAATGAGTGAATGTTATGCAAGATCCACAAGACTGTGCCTGTGCATGCAGAATATGCATTGAGCCACATATTTACGTCTAAAAACCAAACAGACACAGCAAACTAAACCCTTCTCTCAGTTCATCCACAACATTCTTTGGAGGATTCAGGAAAGAGTGCATGTTGTCCTGTCTTGATCATTCATCAACTCCAGAGGTGACTTCATGAATACATTATGACCTTTTTTCTAGAACTGCAAGAAAAACACAGCTGGGGACCGATGTGAGCGTTGCAAAGAAGGTTACTTTGGGAGTGCAGCAGACGGAACATGCAGATTGTGCCCGTGCCCTTTTAGTGTACCCTCAAGCAGGTGGATGAGAAATAAAACTTTACTTCTTTGCTTTTTTCTAATGCAACTGTTTCCGGAATAACAATGTGATTCTTTTGATTTATGGTCAGTTTTGCGGTAAGCTGTGGAGACGTGCTTGGAGACCAATGTGTTTGCAAACCTGGCTACACTGGATTGATGTGTGAAAGGTGTGTAATTCAGAAAAGCAGACATGAAGGCTTTTGGCTTTTTTCCAGTTTGATGCCTCTTCATTAATGCCTTCTCTTACACAGATGTGCTCCTGGTTATTATGGCGACCCACTGAAACCAGGAGGAAATTGCCAGCCATGTAACTGTAATGGAAATGGAAACAGCTGTGATCCTAGGACTGGAGGTTAGATTGTTAACATTTTTCTTTAAAAATGTCTTTTAAAGGTTTTTTTTTTATGCAAACACATTGTGCTCTTTTTATTACTGCTGTGCAGTCTGCAAGAACTCTCTGGAGCCAGGAGACACAAACACAGATGAGCAATGTCAAGGTGAACAAAAAGAAAAGAGTCCTATCAAAGTTCAGACGGTATCTCATGCCATTCGTAATAACCCAAGCATGACCTTCTTTTGTACGTCTCTTTTTTATCTTAGAATGTGATAGTTGCGCTCAGACTTTGCTGATTGACTTGGAAAAGCTCGACGTTGAGTTTGCAAGGATCAAGGCTCAATTGGACAATGCCTCCGTCAGTGGAGCCTTAAAGGAAAGGCTGGACAAGCTAGAAAAGGCTGTGTCTGACACCAAGGTAATCCCTTCACTTGGTAAAAAATCTGCACCTTCAGCTGTAAAACACTGAATATATTTCAGGTATTTTAAAAAGTTAACAGTTTAATAATAATCATCCTGAATTCCTTACCAATTGATTCAGATGCTTTTTTCCTTTTCTTCCAACATTTGGTGACATTATATAGGATCGATATGCTTCAGTAAAATCTAACGGAAAAAATTTACAGTTGTGAAATTGATAGAAAATGACATTTGGTTTTAATTAGTTTTTTACACGCAAAACCTAAAAGTTAAATTTTAATATGGCCTCCTGAGTCAAAAACATTTGCAGACTGACATTTCAGTCAATCTTTGTTTACAAGCCTAGATCGTTACTGGCATCTCAAAGGTTTTCTGTCAGTATTTACTTCTGTTTAGCCCCATCTGTTTTCCCATCAATTAAGCCCCACAGCATGACCCTGCCACTACCATTTTCTATACATTTCAAGGTCAATGTATTTAAATGTTTGACTTCTTATAACTGTTATATTAAATCTCTATTTAACAGAAAGAAATCCCTTTATTGCCCCACAATGGCGAAATTGTGGAATACGCTTACTTAAAGTATTTTTTTGTGTTGTGTTTGCAGACTCTTGTCAACAAGTTCAGCACCACCATTAGCATGCAAAAGACCCAAGTCGACCAAGTTGAGAAAGAGACGGAAAATCTTGGAGATGAAATAAAATTGCTTAAAGACAAGGTAGTAAGATTGTGCCATGTTTTATCATTGCTTCAGTATATGATTTAAGTAGTACGTCTGTAATTGTGTTGTAACCTTATTTTACCCAGGCTGATAGGAGTGCCAGAGACGCTGACAAAGCAGTTGAAAGTGTTGAAGAAAGCAACAAAAGGGCAAAAGACCTGGAAAGAGAGATTAAAAAAATGCTTCAGAAAATTGAAGGTAGAAAAAAAAAGCAACATTCCTTTTATCTTGCACTGTTTTCTTTTTAACTTGTGAAATGGCTCAAGGCTTATATCATATGCTCTCTGTTGTGTTTTCAAGATTTGCTCAATCAGTTGAAGAATGAAGGTAGAGGTGATTCATTACCTGCTGATAGTCTGAATAAAATGCTGGAGAAAGCGAAGGGCATGGTGACGGAGATGAAGAACAGAGACTTCACCACCCAGAAGACAGATGCTGAGAATGAACGAGAAGAGGCAAGAAAGTGTAAGTAACATCATGCTAAATGTCCTAATGAGCATCATCAAGGTAGTGGTCGTGAATATAGCCATGAATTTCAACTATATAAGGTTTCCAATGATAAAATGTTCTCCATCTTTAATGTTTAAAGTGCTTGACAACATCAAGAATAATGTTAGTGAGCAGTGCAACGAGAACGAGGCAGCAGCGGAGAAGATCCAAAACCAGCTCAAGGATTTCAATTCCAAGCTGAAGGATTTGGAGGAAGCTTTGGAAAAAGCAAAAAGCTTGGTGAAAAAGGCCAATACTCAAAACACTGTGAATGATCAGGTGCTGAAAGACCTGGAGGTAAGGAAGCAGCGATTCATCTTTCATCAGGACCTGCATGCTGGTTGATTCATTTTAAATAGTTGTTATCGACTCAAATATTTAGTTTGTAAAAATATTTTTACTCAAATCCCACAGTTACAGTTGATTTTTATGTTGCTTGTAGAAACGTATTAAGGATCTACAAGAGGAGCGGAAAACTGTAAAGAACCAGATAGCTTTGGCTGAGGATGAACTGAAGAAGACAAACGATTTGGCTGAAATGCTCTCAGACAGCAAGAAGGTACATTTTGTTCTTTTTTTTTCATGAATTGTTATTCCTAAATTTCGGCATCAACACCAACCCGCAATACTTGTGACTGTAGACTTCCACATTGTGTATTTTTAGCATGCCAAATACAGTACTCACAGGTAGGAGCATGTCACTCTTAAAAGTGTGAGATTATGAAACACATTTTACTGTAAGGCAAATGAGTGGGGATAAAATATAAGCTGCAGTCTTTTATAGTTTTCTTTTCTTTTCAGAGTATCACCTCAAAATATGGGATCAAAAGATGGGATCTTGCAGACAATCATGTCACTCAGTAAAATACTGCAATATATACATATATTTCTACAGATATAGATTTGAATGGCAACAATACAGTTTTCTATGTATACTTTGATTTCTGTTTAATCTGTTTTTTTCTTCCACAGCTACACAGATTTGATGTTTTAGGTATATATTTATAAAATATTGTGGGACCAAAAAGGATAATTGTTGTTAAAAAAAAAGAAATAATCTGAACTGCTTTTGGGAACATGAACAGAACATAAGTAATTGCAGTAATATAAACTGCGGTAGTGATTTTTGTGATGCAAACACGTAGTGATATTTTTACCCTGAGTCATTAACAATTGTAAGAACAATAGTAGGTGTTTAGTGTAACTATCACATTAAAAATGTTTGAGACATAAATATTTCAGGCCATAATAACCTAATTGGATGGCAGTGCTTGACTTGGTGAACATAGCTTTGAGACCATCTTCTGCTTCTAGTCCTTTTCTCTTTTTACATTAAATCAAGATAAGAAAGGCGAAGCCTTTCTCACATATGTTGTTTTAAAAGGCAACAGAATGTGTGCAGCTTTTGCAGAAAGGGAAGCATCCAGAGTCCAGCAGTGTTTACCTCAACATAGCCATTGCTGCTGGAAGCTGCACACAAGACTGCTCAACTTTGAGTAGTGACATGTGTGAAACACTTTGAGATCAAGTCAGAAAATCCAGAGTGAGATATGCTTTTACCTGTTGTGATTCAAATTTTCCAACAACACAGAAAAAGTTGTTAGATTTGTTTCTAGTTGCCTAGTTGGAAGAAAAAATGGCACTACAGGGGTCTGGAAGTTTCTAAATAGACTAGAAAATGGTGAAAGTGTTGGTGAATTGGATAATAACAAATGAGAGATTGTAGCACAAAAGGAATAGATACAATGCAAATATAATTAAATCATTGCAAATAAGACCATCACAGATTATTTATATTGACTTTTTTTCACTAAACAAAATTCTACAGTAACAGTATTTCATTTCTTATTAAAAATATCCTGTGTTCCACGTGTGCCAACAGGGCACACTACTGTTTGAGAGTGACAGATCTAAGTTAAATGGCAAAATGATCTGTTTGTGCAATACATTTTTCAGAGATATCTGACTTCTCCTTGTGCTGCAGGACTATGAGCTGTTGGCTGCACAGCTGGATGGAGCAAAGACTGATTTGGCCAAGAAGGTGAACAACATCACCAAGGCAGCAGCAAATAAGGACATTGTGGAGGCTGCAGAGGAGCATGCAAAAAACCTAACCGAGCTGGCAAAGGAACTCGAAGAGTAGGTTTATTATTGTTTGAATAATGTTTACATTCTCCCACGATGTTTACATTAGATCACTAATGCACTTTAAGAGATGGAAATGTAGGAGCTGCACAAAACAGCTTTTCATTTTGTATACATGACAATAAAAGTTTCCTAAGTCTAAGTCTAAAAGTCTCTAATATTAAAGAAATATTCAAGAAAGTAATAGGAGCCATAGTGTTCTTGCATAGATTTTAGGTTTCATGTAGTTCAGTTCAATCATAATCTGCTTTTTCTGTAAACATTTGTTACTGCATTATCTTAACAGTGCTATGAAGGACGCAAGTGGACTTTCTGAGGTGCGTGATGCAAAGGATGCTATTGAGGCCTATAAGAACATTACAGATGCCATTAATGCTGCGGAGGCTGCAGCTAAAGAGGCAAAAGAGGCTGCAGATAGTACACAAAGTGTAAGCTTTTCTACTTGAGCACATGTAAAGTTGATATAACTGTTAAATGAAATAAATTATTGCATATTAAACAATGTTTTTTTTTCTCCCTCTTTTAGAGTGTAAACGAAGAAAAGCTTGTAGATAAAGCCAAAGACCTAAAGAAGAAGAGCAATGACCTTCTGAAAAGGGCCAAAGAGTCAGAGGCAGTCCTGACAGGTACTTAGAGCAACCTTTATGCATATGAATTTTGAAATAACCTCAAAGTTTTTTTTTTACATGTTTTTTTATTTTGGTTACAGACGCTTCCACTGACCTCACTAACTTGAAGGATCGTCTGGCCAAGGCAAAAGAAAAGAAAAACGATCTTGAGCAAAACCTCCAGAATATTCAGAAAAACTTGGAAAATACAAAAAGAGGTGGAGTAGAGATAATTCAAGCAGTTAATTAGAATCAAATGAGAGGATTTTTTAACAATACATTCAAATCTCGAGATGATTTAAGATAGTGGAGACAAGATATCAGTAGTTATTTTTAAAAATAACTACAAATTTCTTCTTCTGACACAAATAAAACAAAGCTAAAATGTAAAACAATAGAACCAGTCGTCTACAGTATGTACAATTTTTCAGGCAAGGCTTTTAAAGCATCTCCATTCACTGAGGAATGCTTCATGTCAAGTTTGCACAGTTTAATATATATGTGTGTGTATAGATAGATATATTTTTTATTTTATTTATTTATTTTTTTGTAAGATTTTGTGATATTTTCATATCAAAAATTTTATTATGCAATACTTTATCTCTCTGAGAGGGTGTCTGCTTCAACTGCTATGCATTTTGTTTTGCAATCAGATGACATTAGGAATAAAATTGAGGAGGCCAAGAACAAAGCAGCTTTGGCCAACAATACAGCTGCCAACACCATGGACAAACTTAATAAAATTAGGAAGGACATCGAGAAAATCAATGTGACTCCTGTTTCTGCCAATCTGAGCAACACTCTCAAAGATGTGGACCAGTCTGGTGAGCCTTTTCATTCTTTTAAGAATACTAATCAGTGCTTGTCTTTGTTGTAGAGATGTTTGTGTTAAATATGAATGAAAACAGCAGATTTATAAACAAGATCTTTTGTCTCTTAACTTTTAAACACAGTAAAGGACTTGCTGAAAACAATCCCATCTCTGAACGATAAGATCTCAGAGGTTGAGAACCTGACCTCCCAGTTTTCAAACGTCAGTAACATTTCTGATAACATAAAGAAGATCAAAGAACTAATTGAACAGGCCAGAGATGCAGCTAATAAGGTGGGTGCAGTCGACTTTTTCTAAATGCACTCATTCATGCTTATACATCCGATGTCAGATTTCCTCTGCATTTGCTGTTACTTATAAATTTAAGCTACAAATATTGGACACAAAATGTGGTTTTCAAATAATTATTTTTAAAGGGAAAAATATCAATCTAAACCTACTTTTAGCTTAATAAAATCCTTCTCGTTAAATGTGTAACTGTGATGAACAAATTTGTTAGAAAGAAGAGGTTTCAGTGACCACACCTGAAACGGATTACCTATAGATCATTGAAATAAACTAAAATGGTTTTTTAAAAAAAAAAAAAGCAATACATCATACCAAATCTAAAGAATAAATAAAAGCAGATGAAAGAAGTCTTGAAAGGGTGACAGTCAAGAACCCAACTACAACAAAAAAAGAGAAAAGGAAGTGAAAGGGAAGCTATCTGAGGCAGCACAGACCTCGCCTTAGTCAGTGTTAATGAGGGGGTTCACATCCACTGCTGACCAAGAGGAACACAATGGATGTCTAAGTCGCGTAACATCTATATGATTTACAACCATAAGACTTAGACTAAGAGAAACTTTATTGTCCTCTTGTATATAAAGAGTTTATACAAAAGGAAATTTCGATGCATACAGCTTTTCAACAGTGAATGAGCAGCTTACAACTGTAAAAATAAACAATTCCATTTATATTTTGCAGCAGTGATCAGAATGTAGACAGTGTAGGAGAAAAGGAATTGATATGGAAAGGTTCAGTTCAGTGCAAAATAAATAACTATGTTGCAAAAAGTAGATGGGATTATGAAGAAATCAGTAATAGAAATCAGTAGTAGGTATTAAAATTAGTAGTAGTAATAAAAATCAGTGATAAAAATAAGTTTTGGGGATTATGAAAAAATTCCCAAAAGCAGTGCAAATATAATGTTTACAAGTGTGATTAAAGTCACAACAGTTAAGCAGTCTGAAAAAGCTGTTCAGCAGGGAGAAAACAGTTGCAAAACCTGGTGGTCCTGCATCGAATGCTGCAAAGCCTCTTCCCAGAGGGCAATAGGGAAAACAGTCCATGATGGGGGTGTGAGGGCTCACTGATGATGTTACGGGCTCGGGACACACAGCGCCTGAATGAAATGTCTTTAATGGAGGGAAGAGGAGCCCTGACGATCCTCTCGGCTCTCCCCGCCACCCTTATCACATCATCATGCTTCATCATGATGGTTGCATCCGGTTGTTTGGGATTACTTTGATGCCTTGGTACCTGGTTCAATTGTTTTAATCGATGGAACCTAATTTACCAGAACTTTCTGAAGGAGAATGGTGAGCTCAGACCACTGTTTGAATATTACATGATTGGCTAATCCTGCTCAGCTTCAGCCTTTAATCTGAAAGAGAGAGCGTAGCCTGTTGGTAAACAGGCAGTTAAAGTTCCGAAACCCTCTAACACGGTTGAATTAAAACAATATTGCAAAGAAACAATTGGTCAATAAATCAAAAAAATCAAGCTATTTTGATTCAAAGGTAATTATCTCCTTATAGAGTCTTATTTGTCAGAATACCTTATTTCATTTGATGAATTAAATGATAATGTAAAACTTAAATTTTGTATTGATTATACGTTAGCTTCCTACAATATAAAAAAAAAGAATCAAAATGTTGTCAAAACAGAAGAAATCTGTAGTATTCTTTTACAGTTGTTTTAAATCAACCCCTTTTACACACTTAGGCTGAGGTTGTATGAATCTACATTATATTTTGCCTTCTCTTCAGATTATGGTTCCCATGAATTTCGCTGGGGATGGTCACATAGAGATGCGCACGCCGAAAGATCTGGATGAGCTGAAAGCCTACACAACTCTTTCCCTGGCGCTGCACAGACCCAAGGGCAGAGGAGACGGACGGCGCCGGCGCAGACAGGCTGAAGACAAAGAAAGCATGTTTGTGTTGTACCTTGGTCACAGAGATGTAAGTAAATGAAAATACAAGCTGCATTCGGATTGTCATTTTGCTCTTGTGTCTAATACAACTATGTTCTGCAGTCCTCTCAGAATTACATTGGTATGGTGTTGAGGAATAACCGCTTGTATGGTCTGTATAAGCTGAACGGAAAGGAGTATGAGATGGAGTCTGGTTTCATTTCCACCTCTGACTCTGAGCAGGCTACATTTGATAAAGTAGACCTACACAGGTAATCTGCTGCTTTACTTCAATTCTACTCTTAACGCATTTTATGTCTTACATTTTATCTTATTATACCTCATATTTCATTTTTTTTATTTCAAATGTTTGTAATGGATCAACTCAAAGTGAATATTTTTGAAATAGAGAGCAAGAAAAATAAAAAAAAGATTAATAAAAAAAAATCCTATAACCCTGTTCAGTGTATTCTCATTATCAGTTCGTATGAAATCGTATGAAAAGTTATGCACAGTAATTTTGTACGTTTTTGACGTTTTTTTCGTTGTATTTCTTCGTATTTTTACGTCTTGCCCCGAGACAAGATATCCTTGCGCATGCGCATCTTACGCACCATTCAATAACATAGAATTTAACATACAATTAAACTTAACCCTAACCCTAAGATACAAAACAGCAAGCAACCTAGTTAGAGATATCAAGAAGTAATTATTGCACTGTTTTTCCCAGTTTTACGTCCGTCCACGGATCTGCTTTTTTCGTCTGTCTGGCTGCGCATGCGAACTGATCTGTTTTTTCTAGGAAAAACTTCAAAAACTTACAAAATACTGTGCATAACTTTTCGTACGATTTCATACGAACTGATAATGAGAATATGTTGCCCTGTTAAGTGGGGGTTCATTTGTATTTATTATCCTTTACTCCAATGGTCTTCAACCTTTTTAAGCCAAAGATCCCTGACCTCTACTTGATCTACCTATAGAGGGAAACTTTTCCCTGCTGACAATTTCCTAAAAGTAAATACCTGCTGAAATTTGGCTACTACCTGTTCCGGATCACAGGTCAGGAAAGGATTTAAGATGAAAGCAGCAACATCTTCCATGGCGTCTAATTCACCAAAATTTGAAGCACTTCACCATAGAGTCCTGCAACGGGTCGGGTACCCACGGGTACCTGACGGGTCACCCGCAAAAATGCTCTTTTGCGGGTGAAAAATACATAAATAAAAATAAACGGGTCGGGCGGATATTTTTTTAATGCGGGTGGGTAGTTGGTGATTTTTTTTTTTTTATGCGTGTCTATTGTTATGGACATCAGAAATGTTATATTAATCAGGCACTGTCTGGGGTCACCCTTGTTGTAGCTTAAAGCCCTGCTGGCAATGTGGGGACTTCCCTCCACAAAGCCCACAGTCAGTGCATACACGTCTGCTGCAGTGTTAATGACGCTGTTCTGCAGCGCAGCGTACTATGGCCTATTACTTGATGTGTTAACGGGTCGGGTTGCGGGTTAAATACCAACAGGTCGGGTCGGGTTCGGATTTGAATTGAAGATATCCGCGGGTGACGGGTCGGGTTCGGTAGTCATCCTAACGGGTTCGGGCGGGTGTGGGTTGGTAAAACTCGACCCGTGCAGGACTCTACTTCACCATTGCTTCCATAAATAAATCACCATCTGTAACAGGCTTCGTGTGTTTTGCCAAAATGTGACTAATCTGGAATAAAGCTTCAGTTGCAGCCTTATGTTGAGCTGCAGGGTTTGTGAAAAGTGACTGCTGGGACTTCAAACTTGCTTTCAGCAACTTTCCTAGCACGGATTGTTCTCATGGCGGGGAAACTGCCTTTGAACTTAAAGTGGTTGGTGTTGTGCCGCTCCAGATGTCGTCTTTTAGACAACGCAGTGAAAATGTATTCCTCTTCCCATTCCTCATGGAAATGATCAGTTTTGGACTTTTTTCTTGGAGCTACCGCGATGACATCTGACCTCATCACTGTCTATCTGCTGTCACCCATCCACTGTCCAGCTTTTCCACAGTTAATGTGCCAGCTTTATTCTATCACTATAGGGTCCTACAGGGAATGTTTCAGAGATCTACCAGTCGATCGCGATAGATGGGTTGGCGACCACTGCTTCACTCTAATACCCCCAAATGAAATCCTTTGAAACTAGTTTCCTACAGATTTTAATCTCAGCATAAATCCAGTTGTAAGGGTATCAGATCCGTTGGAGAATAATATTAACAAACAGGAACATGAATACCAAATAACACAAGAGAAATGTCAGGGATACAGTTGTAGATGTTCCAACCAGGGTTAGGTTATAAAACCCTGGTTTCATTACCTGGTTAACTGATTTATCCAGGTGTGTCTGGCCATGATTACTGGGGTTAGAAAGGCCTGGATTAATCAGTTCATCTAGTTGAAAAAGACAGGAAACAAAAGAGCTGCCGTAAGCTCAGGAAGTAGTGGAACTGTGCATAGAGCCCAATAACTGCATGTTGAATAAACAATTCTAAATGTTTATAGCTTTGGAGTACAGTAAATCAAAAAGAAGAAACAGCAACAGCACATAAAAGTAGCTGGGGTGAAAATAACCTCAAATGTATGTATTTCTTTCTTATGACTTAGAATTTATCAAGACGCGCAGATGAGTCTGACCAAGAGCATAACCGGAACACCTGCTGCACCAATTTTGAACGAGATTCAAGGACAGGAGAAAAAGGACCTCCTGGACATCAACCCTGAAGATGTTGTTTTCTATGTCGGAGGCTACCCATCCACCTTTACTGTGAGGCGCTGTAGACCAAATACCATCATTCAATTCACAGAAGGTGTATCCTGAATAGTGATTAGTAATACTTTCCTTTGCTCTGTCTCCCTGCAGCCTCCTCCCTCCATGAGATTACCAAAATACACAGGCTGCATAGAGTTCTATTCCGTTAACAGCAAGGCTGTCAGTCTCTACAACTTCCAAAAAGCAGAAAAGATCAACATCAACACTCCCTGCAAGAGGTACAAAGCCAAAAATTACAAAGGCTGAGTCATAAATCTGCTGCATGTTTGTCTGCAGGTTTGTTTCCCCCCCAGAATTTGATTACATTTAGTTTCTGTCTGCTACTTTGTCTCTTCTAGAACTGTGACTTCAAACTCTGACTACTTCGAAGGCACCGGATACGGGAAGGTGTACATTAGCAAGAACCTGAAAAGATTTGATATGTCAATCATTACACGCTCAGAAAATGCTCTTCTCGCCTACTTAGGAGATGATGTAATTGACCGATTTTATGTTGATAAATCTTGCATTTAAATCAATTATTATCTGAATGACAGTAAATGATAATATTTACAACTATTTCCTTTTTCTCCTTTGTCACACAGAACAATTACCTGACAATAATTATAGATAAGGGTATTTTGGCTGTACGAGGTAACCTAATCCCACAACAGGTTAACGACACATCGAAAATGTTCCCAGTAAGTTGTTTTTTTCATGGGTTTCTTGGTTTTTGAATGATATTACTTTGAGATTTTTTTTTTCCTTCAAGAAAAAAACATGCATTTGTATATTACTTATTTTCTCTTTCAGGTAAAAGATGCCACCAATGTCAAAATGATTGTTGTAAATAATGAAATGCTTGTGATTATAAAAGAACCACTTCGCGTCAGCATAGCAAAATACGACTTTGCCAATTTTAAGGAATTCTATATCGGTGGTGTAACACAGGAGCTGAGAGACAGGTACATTCTTATTATCTATGCTTGATGTACATTGCCACATTGTTCAGTGGGAACTGTTAATAACCTGTCAGTCTCAATTTTTAGATGGGGCATCACCACACCGCCTTTCAAAGGATGTTTGAAAAGTTTATCTCTAGCAGAAGGATTTAAAAGTCTTGATGAACGAGTGGGGATCAGCAAACGCTGCTCTACAGACTTATTGGTATGACTTTCCTTTTATTTACAGCTGAAATATTCATAACACAAGGAGGTAGAGTGCTCTTTTAAATATTTTAAATCATCTTGGTCAAGAGGTATAAAAGACTTTATGGTTTTATTTACTTTATGGTAGAAAAGAAAATAAAGGCATAGGTAAGGCCTAATAAATATTTTTGGTTGTCCCTGATACCCCATCCTCCTTACTGAGCCCGCTGTGTCAGAAATTAGAATGTTGGACCCAGAATTAAGGCAGACAGACTTAAGTGATTCATAAAAAGCAATAATTAAATACTTGGAGTTCTGCGTCTCGTCAGCTAGGCCTAGATGGATGGAATCTCTGTAGAGGGAGAAACACAGGTTAGTGACAACGTTACTGATGGGGAATGATAGCGACCGTGTGAGTCACTAACCTGGTTATTAAGTTCAGTCCGAGTCTAGAGGAAGGAGTGGAATCCAGCCGGATGATTTTCCACAGCATTTGGCGGAAACATTCCAGGAGTAGAAACCAAAGAAGCTACAGAACAGACCGATGAGCAGAAGCCAGCTGATGAGGAAGAGCAGAAGTATCTGGAAGGAAAATTTAAGCCGGTGTCGATGAATAGGTTGAAGTCCAGGCCAGAAGATAAGAGATCAGAAGAGGTACTGAAGGGAAGTCCAAGCCAGGGTTGGGAGACAGATCCGAGGTCGTTAGCAGGCAGAATCAAATTGAAATCCGTAGACAGTTCAGGCAATGAGTTCAGAACAGGGTCAGGCAAGCTCAAGTTCAGGAGGAGAAACTAGTCAGAATCAGGCAATCAGAATAAACACACTGCATATGCTAGAGAACTCTCACCTATGGCTCAAATAATCTGGCTGTGGTAGCTGGGACCAAACAGGTTAAATAGGGACAGGAACAGGTGGATCAGATGAGTGATAATAAAAACTGAGCGGAGCTATGCAGGTGGATGAAATAAACCAATAATCCAGTCATCAGTGCCAAGATCATGACACCCTGCCTGCCTCATTACCTTTTGTTCAAGACTGCATACCTCCAACTCATTGCCCTGTTCTGTTTTCAATGTTAGGCGTTGTTCATTGTGCTTTTTGTACAGTGTCTTTTGGTGTTCTGAAAGGCACTTTAAATAAAACGTATTATTATTACTTCCCTTATCAAGCGGCTTTTGTAATGCATCAATGTTACTCTTGCTGTAAGAAAAGTCTAAAATGTTTCCACCTATCAATCACTGTGCAGGGGGCTATATTTTTGAAAGGAGGTTGGGGGACACACTTTTGAAACCCCTGCCTTAAATCCTCGAGGATCCTGGCTTACCATCAGGGCACCTCACATGCTTTTATTCGATGGAAGTTTTCTCTAAAGGAAATTGAGTTTTTCTTTAAATCTTCATGATGTCATGTATTCTAAAAAAAATTTCAGGGCTGCAACTCATCATAGTTCCTTCACCAAGCTCAACAGTGGGACTGAAGGGCTTTTATGCTTAAAGTTAAAGCACCATAGGTTTTACAGCCATGCTTCTTTTGTAGCTTGCATCAAGATGGCTTCTAGTTATATACAGAGTTAGATGACTTGATGTCCTTCAGAGGTGGACAACTCAGGTACAGTAAGGCGTGGTGTCCGAGGCCTTGCTGCCCTCAAAGGTGCTGACCTTAAAAAGAACTGTAAAGAAATTAAAAGAATAAATATATCACTATATTTGAAAAGAAAAAAAGTATAAAACCAAAATTTGGATGGAATATATAGCACTAACTTTGCTGATGTCAATGTTCTTGGGATGTATAAATAAGACGGAGAAAAAGGGGGAGCTTTTCACCCACATTTTCATATGTTTAAGCTAACATCCATGTGTCTTTTCTCTTTAGGGCTCATTCAAAGCACAGTTAAGTTTGGGGGATTCCTTAAAGAACTTAAATGACTTAAATATGGAAAATGACGTTACTGTGTCCCTCGGATTCAAGAGCATAGAGAGTGAGGGCATCATCATGCAGAGCAAAAAACAGGTAACTTTGCCCCCTCATCTCACAGTTATCTCCTTTGATATGTATATCTTTAATTAAATACAATGATCCTTATGGTTTTATCCTCCAGGCAAACCAGATAAATCTTGCAATGGAAAATGGCCATTTGATCCTGCGCTCCAGCGACACTATGTGGAAATCAAACAAACAGTACAACGATGGAAATTGGCACTATGTGACCATCACCAAAAGAGAGAATAGGTATGAAATGAAAATCAATTTTAAATGTAGAAGTAAACCCAAATTGACTCTGGAATTTAGGTTTACTTTTTAATTTTAAAGCTACTTCTGAAATCACGGGAAATAATTTGAAAGCCTATTCTAAAGAAAAATTATGTGATATTTAATTTTTGAAATTAATTTTTGAAGTAACTTCTGCTACATACAAGCACATTTTACGTTTTTTTTTTCTTTCTTCTTCTTAAGAATTTCACTGCAGATTGATGACAAGGACTATGGTCAAGAACAAAGCGGCGCCACCACCCTACCAAACACAGATGACTCTTTGTTGCTTGGAAATACAAAATTCAAAGGCTGCATTTCCAACTTTTATACTAGACGGTAATTTTTCTTTGGTTTCTGTGTGTGATTCTGGTTGTTCTTAAATTGTGCCTCTTCTTATATCTGTTCTTTATTTGATTGTTTGTGATTTCAGGCCAGAAAACATATACAAGCCTGAGGACTTAACCACCTTCGAGTCATCTGGAGAGGTCCTGATGGATGTTTGCACCATCAGTAATCCTGTTCAACTGATGATGGACCGCTTCTCTAAAAAGGTAAGCTCTCATATATATATAAGCTCTACTCAGAAACTTGTTCGTATGCTTCTTTCTTATCCAGCTGTATGTACATTTGTATGTCACAATAGTTATAATAGTTTTCATTTCCAAAGTTTTGGAAATATAAAAAATAACAACAACATAGAAGCTTTGTAAAAAAAAAAGGACAACATTTTCTTTTCATAAATGCTGAACTTGAGCATGTGTGTGTCACAAAATGGCCATCTGAGAAAATAATGGTGTCAGCTTGAATGCAAGTTAAAAAGAGGTAAAAGCTTACCGCATATATTCCAGCATGGGTAGAAATATTGGGTAATTTATTCCCTTAAATCCAAGATTCTAATTGTTTTATGATCTCAGGGGAAAAAAAACGTTTTTACACAGTCTATTTAATATATCAATCACACATTAATTTGACATATTTTATTGAAAATTTTTATTGTTAGCAAAACAACCCAGCATATGTCTGCAGCATAGTGATATCACCAGTGCCAGCTCATGGTATATGGCGTTGCTATTCTTGTCTCATATTTTGTGTTTTAAGATCTTCTTACTTTAGATATATTAAATGGATCTTAGATAATTTCTCATTTTCTCAAGCATGTGTTTCTTTTCTTGAATTACTGTTAAAGCCTTTGAAGAATCCATGTTACTTGTTAACTTATAATCTAATAAAAATGTTTGCTTCCTTTTAAGTGAAGTAAGTCACATCTCACTTAATTTTTTTCTATAACCGTCACGTTTTGCATTTCAACCTTGTTTCCTTACATTTTGCTGCCTCATTTTCCAGAGATGAAGAAGAAGGAGCCCAAAACCTGCAGATGACGACAAGAATCTAACACTGACTGATGCAACCCTGTGTTTTATTCTAGCTTACGCGCAAGCTCATTTATCTACAGTGTACTCTAATAAAATAAATTAATCTATGAATGCTTAAGTACACGTGCCAAAGAACAACTGCATTGTATTTCATCCTCCTTTGTTCATTCAGTTCAAATTTACCATATACAATTTTTTGTGAATAACAACCTTGAAAGGATTTTGTCTCTTCTCTTTCTTCCATGCAACCCTTTTAACAGCAGTTCATAAGCATCTTACTGTTAATTCACTAATGACACATAATCTCATGCCTGATAAAGAGAATTAAAAACATATTCTAATTGCACCTTTTTCTTAGTAGCCATTAACACCACCTTTTAGGATTTTGCCATACTTTTATCTGTGTCATTTAAATAATACAGAACCAGAAAGCTGCAATTACTGCAAAAGGGGTGAATGCTTTATGGGGGTTCTATATAATAGGTTATCTGTGGAATTTCAAAAACCGGAAGTTAAGCAAAAAAACTCAGGTTTAAGTGCAAAAATGTACCAGAAAAAGAGGACATTTGCAGAGAAATATGCTAAAGTCAACTTAATAGCAGTGTCTGATGGTAAAAGCAGTTTAAAATGTCTGCAAAAGCATTTAATCTTTGCATTATTGCATCTAGTTTGCAGTAAAATCAGAAAGAACCGCAGACTTTGGCTTCCTTATTAAATGGAGCCCGGTGATTTCAACACAGTTGTTACCATAGGGGTTTTAGTGTCCATTTCAACTCCTCCAGTGATTATTGAGACGGCAGCATATTAAAAGCAATTAAGCATTTAAAATTCTCCAAAAACCTGCTTGGACTAAGTTGATTTGAGAGGCACAAAGGATTTTCTTTAAAATTTGAAGTATTTCTTGATCATTTTTATGGGGTGTAAATAACCCCTTTTGAAGGTTGAAGGTAGAGCTCCTGAAATGTTTGATATTTAATATTAATTGAAATAGCACAGGCGTATTTAGATGCTTTTAGATGCTAAAAAATAAACAGAGTAAATTGAAAGAGCTAGAGGATTACAGCAGCATTCCTATATATACTTAAAATGAATGATTTGACAGACTGAGCTGCAAAAGAATACATTTTTTGTGTCTTGTTCATGGATGGACAAAGAAAAAGACTTTGGAGGATTTCTCACATAAGCTTCACCTTGAGGTAAAATATGTAAGTCTTTCTTTGCTGGCGGCCCTGAGTTCTTTCATTTGTTTTTCATGAATTCACATTCCACTAATTCCTCTAATCCCCTTGTCCTTGCATTTCCATCCTACATTGGAAAATATAATATTTTAACTTGGAGACAAATTCTTAATAAATCTTATTTAAAATAAAGGAACATAAATACTGTGACAATCAGCACTGTTGGGGTTCACAGAAGGCCAATAATAGGCTACATGATAAACTCCACATAGCTAAAAATAAAAAAAGGGGGAGTTAAAGAGAGAAATAATTTCACACCAATAAGGTTTCATATGGATGTGGAGAAACCGTTATAACAAAATAATAAGAGGACAGCTTTTATATCTGCATTTACCTTTAATTTATTAGAACCTAATAGGCTTTTTTTTTGGAAAAGCACTTTACATCAATACCACTATGTTGCTACTAATTATATGAAGTGCATTGCAAAATCATTGGGGATGGGAAACACAATTTATAAAAGAAATTAAAACAAACCTGTATAAGATTCGTAATTAATTCTGGTATATCCATTGTGCAGCTGTAATTATAAGAACATGTTGAAAGCATGAGTGATAAAATATCGGATTTGAATAGACACGCACTAGTCTGCCAGACAGTTTCCCCCCCGATTGGCTCTGATTGGATGGGCAGGCAATATACAGAAAATTATAAATCTGCTTTTCTTTTATCCTAGATGCATGAAATAGACATGCAAACATAAAAAAACTACCATTTTTAGTGTATACAAAAAAATCAACAAACAGCATATGTTCTGCTTTGATGTAGAGATGGATCCTCTGGCTCTTCTTTTGTGCTCTATCCATTTAAAACCACAATCTATCAATGATTCTTTGGCACATTTTGCTCTTTGTTCTTCACAACCGAATGAAAAAAAATTGTTATTAGCAGGTCAGACCTCAAAGAAAATCTTGAAAATCCTTGAGCACCGCATTTCTGTTTTTGAACGTAAACACAGTATACCAGTGATTAAAATCATATGCAGGAAAATTAGTCTTTAGGTTGGACTAAATTAAAATCGACACAATTCTTGTCTGGCCTCATTATTCAATAATAAAAAAAAAAACTCACATGTCAATCACATATAATTTTCCTTTTAAGATCAGTGAAGTATGGCAGTATTTGAAAAGCTTCAAAGTTGCTCGTTATTCTGACTGAAACAGATTGTTTGCAGTTATGCCTGACATGGGCATTTCAAATTACATTTGGAAAATGTTTTATGACATTTTAGATTTAAAACAGGATTTCCTGGTAAATATAAGATTAAAACCCTAAAATAATTCAGCCAAAGTAGGCTTTTAATGGAAGTGATCATAATTCAATTTCCCCCTTACTTTCCAGCGGAGTTTGAGCCTTTCAGACACCTGCAACAAGCCTGAGCTGGGAGCCATTCAAGTACAAACTTGTCTTAAGGAGTTTCTACTTTTTCCTCTTTTGTGCTTCTTCACAGGAAAATGTGCAGCAAATGATGAATGAAAGCGTGTTACCCTGTGAAGTCCCAGCACAGCTTCAGTATGCATATCGCATGGGAGGGCCAGTAAGCAGCCTGAGCTACAGCCTGCCATTACAGGTCTTGCAGCCCAGGTAAATGGCCAATTTTCATTTGATCCTACATTTTGAATACAAATTGAGTATAAAAAGAGCTTCAATAAAGCTTGTTATACTCACTTTTTGTTCTTCTTTCTTTCTTCCTATCCAGGCCCCACTTCTCTCTAGATGTCAGGACTCGATCTCCAGAGGGTCTGCTGTTCTTTGCAGCCACCAGAGGAGGGCAATCTCATCTGGCATTGTACATGTCTAAGGGCAGGATCCGACTGTCTGTGGGCAAACAGAAGGAGATATTTAACAGAGAGAAGTACAATGATGGAAAGTGGCACTCGGTTAGTAACCACACACGTCTCTATACAACTCTCAATATGTTTACATCTAAAACTTATTTTTGACATGAACTATTAAAAAACACATAACACAACACCATTTTTGTACTTGTTTGGAATCAAACCAGACTGCACCTTTTCTGTTTTAGGTCAGGTAGTGATAAATAAAATGATTTGTGCTTTCTAAATGGTTGAATAATAAGTGAGAAAAACTTGCATACACTTCTTATGTGGCGGAATTGCATTTTAAAACACACAACTTGGGTCAAGCATTTTGGCTCTTCTTCCCCCAAATTCTCAGAACGATTTGCATTAAGACCCCTCATGACAAGTAAAATAAATGGACGGGTGTTCCCTCGCCCGGACAAGCGTGACTGGGGCCCCACTCTGGAGCCAGGCCTGGAGGTGGGGCACGCTGGCGAGCGCCAGGTAGCCAGACTTTTACCAATGGAGCCCGGCTGGGCACAGCTCAAAGAGGAAACATGGGTCCCCCTTCCAATGGGCTCACCAGCTCTAGGAGGGGCCAAAGGGGTCGGGTGCAATGTGTGATGGGTGGCAGTTGAGGGCGGGGACCTTGGAGTTCTTTATCCTCGGCTGAAGAAGCTGGCTCTTGGGACATTGAATGTCACCTCTCTGGTGAGGAAGGAGCCTGAGTTAGTGCGCAAGGTTGAAAGATAGTTGGACTTACCTAGACGCATGGCTCTGGCTCTGGAACCAGTCTCCTTCAGAGGGGCTGGACATTCTTCTACTTTGGAGTTGCCCCTGGTGAGAGGTGCTGAGCGGGAGTGGGCATACTTGTTGCCCCTCATCTTGGTGCCTGTACATTGGGGTTCACCCTGTGAAGGAGAGGGTTGCCTCGCTCCGCATACGTGTGGGGGGAACAGGTTCTGACTGTTGCTTGTGCTTATGGGCCACAAAGCAGTTCAGATTAATCACCCTTTTTGGAGTCTTTAGGGGGGGTACTAGAGAGTGCCCCTCCTGGGGATGCCCTTGTTCTTCTGGAGGACTTCAACGCTCATGTGGGCAATGACAGTGAGACCTGACCTGAACTCAAGTGGTGTTCTGTTCTTGGACTTTTGTGCTCGCCATGGATTGTCCATAACGAACACAATGCCACAAGGTGCTGTACATACCAAGTAAATTTAAAATTGTTTAAAAAATACATAGAAGTTTAAAGGAATAAAACATAAAATAAAATAAATAAAACCAACAAAACCATATAAAAAAACAATTAAACAAAGCACAAACCGCAAAACAGACAGAGTCTCACACTGTGTTAAAAGCCAAAGAATCAAAATAGGTTTAAGATGAGTTTTAAAAATAGACAGTATAGGGAATTGTCTGAGGAGGAGCTCAATCCAAAGTTTTGGAGAAGCAACTAAAAAAGCTCTGTCTCCTCTGAGGCACCGAATGGGATTTAATTGAATTTCATTGACACCCCATTAGAGAAATTTACCTTTGCATTTAACCCACCCCCTTGGGGAGCAGTGTGGGATTAAGGGTTTTGCTCAGGAACCCAGAGTGGAGGATGTGGGGATCGAACCGGGTACTTGCAACCTTCTCAGATCACAAGCACCCTGCTCTTACCACTGGGCCATCACTCCCCTAATCCAATGTTTTTCAACCCTGGTCCTCAAGGCACACTGCTCTGCATGTTTTGGATGTTTCTAAGCTTTAGCTCACCTGATTCAGATGATTGCAGCTCAGCAAAGCCTGATAATCTACTATCAATTGATAACAGCCATTCAAAATGTCCCTTCCCAGTCAAACGGCAGCCGAATGGCAGCCAATATCCAGCCATTGGAGTGACCCCCTCCTTCTCCTGGGCAGCATGTATTACTTTACTCTGACTCCGCCTTTTAGCTGAATTACAGGGTCTGACCAGGAGATGATGCTTCTATTTAGATCTTAATGTCCACAAATCATGACAGAAATAATATTTTAGTACAAAGATTGATCTCCTTAGATTTCTTAAAAAATTATTAGGGGACAAGCTAAGGGCCCATCAAGGAAAGTGGGGAAATTTTGAATGGCTACTACTGTATGTATTAGTACGTAAAAATCTGGTTTCTATCTAAGGACCTACTGCTCATTTTATTTTGCTAAACAAAATTGTGTTGACTGTATTTCTTCCGTAGGTCGTATTCAGTTTGGAGAAGAAGAAATTCAGGTTGGTCGTTGATGGGATCAGAGCTCAGGATGGTCAACTGACAAACACTGAGTTGAAGTCCATGCAGCAATTCCTCCTACCTGTGTACCTGGGCAGTGCACCAGAATCCCTTGAGAAAGAGTTAAAGGTAGCAAAACAAATTTTAAACCAGCTGATATAATTTTTTGGACAACAAAAAAAATATATTTTTCTCAAGAACTATTGTCAATCAGAAAAATTGAAACTCTTTTCCGTTTTAGTCAAAGGCTCTACCAAAGCAAAGTGTGTCCGGCTGCGTGCGTAATTTTAAGATGAATGGAGCACCAATGTCAAACCCATCAGCAAACTATGGTGCAGGACCCTGCTTTGAGGGACAGACACAGAGAGGGGTGTACTTTGCAGGAATTGGAGCGCATGTCATCATCAGTGAGTGCTTGTCATTTTTATAACCCTCTGATACCACACTGTTTTTTTTTTTATCTTTGTAAACAACAGAACATTTTTGTTGCCCGATTTAAGACAAAAAAAACGTTGTTTTTTAATATTGTTTTCTGTTTATTCAGTGGTTGGTGGCTCATTGCAAATTTTTAAGGTATAGTGGAGGATTTTCGCAAATTTTTAAAAAAGACCTGCCCTCTCTACTTAAAAAAAAAATGCACATGCACAACCCTGTACCCACTCCCAAGAAGGAACGCCTATTAAAACATGTGAGAGCGTGCACAAGCCCATTTCTCCTTGTGCACGCACTGTTTGAAAATTGCTGTTTGCATTGCTCATACGAGCTTACTTTCAAAAGAAGATTTGCAGTTTTTCCTCTATTACAGACCTAGACTTAGACAAATTTATTTTGTCATTTTGTATACTCCAGTGTATACAAAAAGAAATTTCGTTTAAAACAGCACTATACAATTTCATTTTTTACAGAGCAGCTTTGAAAACAGTAATAAATACATAAAAAATATATAGTAATATAAACATATGACTGTATATTTACACTTCTAACATTAATTTTATTTATTTATTTTTTCTTTATAAATAAAATAACCCACTTTAACATTCAGAAGTCTAATGGCAGTGGGGAAGAAACTGTTCTGAAATCTGGTGGACCTACGTCAGATGCTTTGAAGCCTTTTCCCAGAGGGCAGCAGGGAGAACAGTCCATGGTTGGGATGTGAGGGGTCATTTATGATGTTACGGGCTTGGGACACGCAGCACTATGTCAGAATCACCACCGGTAAATGAAAATGGGAATGAGCAAGTAGGACAGTCTTATGTAAACATATCACCAGAATGATTGACAATTAGGAGGACCACTTATTTTTGATGATCCACCCGGAAAAAGAACATCCTTCACTATACCTTTAAATCCTAGCATCTGTATATGTGTTTTGAAGTTAAATTTTTTTTTTACTTCAGATGACTCCTTTGTGTTTGGATCTGAACTGGAACTGCTCTTTAGCATACGTCCCCGCAATCAGACCGGACTCCTGCTTTATGTCGGTGATTCGAACACAAACAACTATGGAAACACGATGAGCCACTTTCTCAGCATTTATATGCTTAGAGGAGAGGTAAGAGCACTCTTTTGCTTCTCATTGCCATATAACTGTTTTAAATTATTACTAGCCATCACTTTATGTCCCTCAAACTGATCTTGGCTGGTTTTGAATAGTGTAAGTACCTTTATTATCAGGTAACTTTCCTTGTTTGTTTGTTAAAAGTAAGAAATTTAAAAATATTGTCATTTACAGGTTGTGGCAAAGGTGAGCAACGGGAGAGGAGAATACATGACATCAGTGAAGCCTAAAACTTCTTTATGCGATGGAATGTTCCATAAAATTTCAGGTGAAATAAAAACAACATATTCTTATATATACCTGATAAACATATGTTTAGAGGACCCAGTCTGACATAGTTGAAAATAAATACATAAGTAAATAAATGCTCAAATAAAAAAAATGTATTGGCAAAAAATAAAATGTACAAAAAAAATGTACAAATATACTTTAATTAACTCAATTATTTTTTCATCTTTATAGTAATTACCTCATTTATTTAATATTATAATTTTCAACTTTATTGATTACTTGTTTTTTATATGTATTTATTTCTGTGTACTTTTTATTTCTGTTTTATTTTATTTGTCTATTTTTTTTTAAACTAATTTTCTCCACGTTCCATCCTAATACATTTCTGCCATTTATTTTCAATTATGTCAGATTCGTTCCTCAAAACATTTTCAACGAAATGTGAAATAAGTCTCATATTTTGGATGCAATATATCGTTTACACATCCTTGTAGCATAAGAGAGTGAGATAAAAGAAAACAAAGATTCACAAGCCTCACCCAAGGGTTACACTGGCAAAAATTGAAATCTAGAAAAGTCATTTATTCTTAAAATAAGTGCATTTGTTCTTGGATTGAAGAGGTAAAAGAGACATTTTGCCAATGGAACAAGACAATTTACATTTAAAATAAGAAAACAAAATGGGATTGTCTTATTTTAAGTGCATATTATCTTATTATCTTATTTCAAGAGTAAAAATACTCATTCCATTGGCAAACTTTCTGATTGACCTACTTAAATTAAAGATATATTTACGATATGTAAACTTATTTCTAGATCGTTTTTCCAGAAAACATAATCTACTTTAGGTCCCTTTTCCAAGACATAATAAATGGTAGGAGAGGATTTTTTTCCTAACTGACCGACAAATATGCAAACAAAACTAGGTGCCATTTTGGTCTCCATTTTGTACACATCGATCATTTTCTCTTTGCGTCAACATTTCATTAGCTTCTGCAGAGTCCATACATATTTTGTTTTCTTCTTGACTGGTTAGATTGATCTGAAATAAGAAGTAATGTTTTACCACTTGAGTTACCTTTTTATTAGCCTGACATAGTCCTACTCAATTCTAGTCAGAATATGAGTCTGATACTGCTCCATAGAGCGGTGATTATGGGGCGTGTTTTGAACGGACCAGGAAAAAAAATGCCTCTGCACTCAATTGGATAGACCTACAACCAATAAGAGCAACGGAGTGCGTGACGTATGTTAAGCCAGGCATAGTTGTTGTCAACAAAAATCAAAGCGTGCAGTTGCGCGCCTAGAATAAGAAGATGAGCCGTGATCGCGTTTCTCTTTTCCTCTTTTAAAATTAATTTGCTGTCGATATCTTCTAGAACAGACCTAATAGCAGAATCTACTCACCTCAACTCTCCGGCGGCAGCCATTGTTGTTGTCTCCCAAGCGCGCTTCGGTCACGTGGTTGATTACGTTACTGTTGATCATCTGTCCATCATCGTATAAAGCCCGCCCTGACAATTTGATTGGATCGCCAGAGGGTGGGCGATCATACTCGCGCTACTATGGAGCAGAGCCAGACCGAACTTCCCGACCTCAAACCTTGTGGGCGGGACTAAGTTCGGAATGGCACCCAGGCTACCTTTTTATATCAATACTCATTAATGTATTTTTATAATCGCTTATCTTTTTTTCCTTAGTAATCAAAAGAAGAAATGTTGTACAGCTATCTGTGGACACAACGGACAACTACAAGATAGGACCACAACCTTCCACCTTCCCTTTGACCAAAGTCCCCCTATATGTTGGTGGTATTCCTGGTGAGTATTAGGCTACATTCACACTGAAGGCCTTGATGCCCAATTCCAATTTTTTTGTGAAATCTGATTTTTTTGCATTGCTGTTCACATTTCCAAATACAGTATATGCGACTTGTATGTGATCTTCTGTGTGAACTGCAGTCATACAACGCAAGTGTCCCGCATGCGCAGTAGAGGACGCAATGATATCACAGTTGCTCTGTGTTTACGGACACAATCTTTTCAAGATGGTTAAACATAAATACTGCTCTCCGCATCAGCCATGGGTGTTGTTTTTCTTGCCGCTTCTTCATAGCAAGACCCAGAAAAGTGACCTTTGTTGGATATTAATGGCGTTCAGGTCGGATGAATGTGACCTGGCTGTTCAGACACAGGTCGCATTTGAAAAGATCAGATTCGTATTGGATTCAGGACCACATAGCCAAGTGGCCTGGGTCGCATTGGAAAAAATCAGATCTGTGTTGTTCAGACAGCCATGAAAAGATCATATACAGGTCACATATGGGCCAAAAAAATCAGATTTGGTTCACTTCAGGGTGCAGATTGAACGTTGTCTTATTGTTCTTAATTGTCCTATTTTTTGAAAGCAGAGCTTTTAGAGATCATGGAGGGGTCTGAAATTGTCATCGTAGGTGCATGTCCATTGTAAGAGTCAAAGTTAATATTTGGTACAGTAACCTTTGTTTGCAATTGCAGAGGTCAAATGTTTCCTGTAGTTTGTCACCTGGTTTGAACTCACTGCAGGAGGGATTTTAGCCCACTCCTCCATGCAGATCTTCTGTAGTTCAGTTAGCTTTCTGGGCTGTCGCTGAGAAACACAGAGTCTGAGGTCCCTCCAAAGATATTCTATTGGGTTTAGGTCTGTAGACCCCTAGCCCTTTCCAGCCCTGTGGTGGTGTTCAATTTGTCTTTAGTGTCTTTGGACTGCTCTTTGGTCTTGGCCATGTTAGCAGTTTGATTCTTACTGATTGTATGGGGTGGAAAGGTGTCTTTACGCAGCTAATGACCTCAAACAGGTGCATCTAATTTAGGATAATAAATGAAGTGGAGGTGGACATTTTGAAGGCAGACAAATAGGTCATTGAGTGTCAGAATTCTAGCTGATAGACAGTTGTTCTAATACTTATTTGCAGCTGCATAATGCAAATAAATAGTAAAAATCATACATATTGTGATTTCTGGATTTTTTTTCTGATTGTGTCTCTCACAGTGGACATGCACCTATGATGACAATTTCAGATCCCTCCATGCAAAATAACAGGGTGTTCAAATACTTATTTTCTTCTATCTATCTA